GATGTTATCTGTGTTAGGCAACGTGTATAATTGTAATGATCACCTTGACAGAACGGGTGACATAGCGGGGATGTTATGCTAGCTTCTAACCCATACTGTCACTGTGAGAAGCAAACCGAGTGATGTACTAGTAGCTCGTCAAAGCGCTGATCAGGCAGTGACTAGGCGATCCAGGAACAGAGCATGCTGTGCCTGTTTCGTAGTTTCATCCCCGTCCATTAACGATCAAGAACGTGTCGTGTGTTCCAGATCATCTTGGGGTAGTATATAGGTTGAAACCATCAGTGAGTGCTGATTGCTAAGCTGAAATACATGTTAGCTTGTTGTAGACCTAAGATACTGACAACGGTTTTATCGTGCGGCTATATTGCAAGATTGCCATTTCCAGATTAAACGTCGCCTACTTATGGGCTAGATTAGCTCGCAACACAAACCAGTGCATTGTTTCACACAGACCTGAGGACAACATTGGCCGGGACGACAATTTCCGAAGGTGTTGCACGAACCGTCACACAGAATGGGACACTATAGCAAGTCACGGTATACCAAGAGGTACATTAGTGATATCACGGTAATTATGTTGTGAAAAGGTAATGCGAGGGCGGTATTCAAAGCGGATTCTTTCCTCAAGGATAGAAAACCATGTGATGACTCCAAATGGGAATGGTTGTACAGTTGAAATGCTCATAATGCATACCGTTGGGATCGCCAAAACGTTAGGTCCTGTTTGGACAGCGAATATTATAATTCAATTCAAAATTCGACCATCATGTGACACTACACGTAAGCCAGCTGTGAACCTCGGGTTCACCGTGTCGAGTGGCACACTAATTCCATCACAATGTCTGATAAGTCTGGTACTGGTTCTACACGCTCCCTTCGGTCTCAAGGTCCTGCTGATAAGAAAGCTGAGGGGACTGGCACATCCCGCAAGGCTGCTGCGATCTGGACAAAGGAGGAGGAAACAGCATTGCTTGAGTCTCTTCTGGGCGCTCTTTCTTCCTCAGGTGATGGTGGCTTCAAGGCACCTGCTTTCAATGCAGCAGCAGAAGATCTGAAGAAGAAATTCCCTGATCAAAGGGGTGCAGTAAAGACTGGGACAGTGTGCAAGAACAAATGGACATCGGTATGTTTACATAAAAGAACTCAAATTTCTTATCGGCGCTGGCACTAACATCAGTGCAATATCTTTCTAGTTGAAAACATTGTATAATGCTGTAGTTGATATCAAGAATACATCGGGATTCACATGGAGTGATGAAAATGGGGCAGGTATTGCATTGAAAGATGATGACGTCTGGGTCAGATACATCAAGGTGAGTATCGTACAAAGGAGCTCTAATACATGTACTCAATGTCATCTCTTTTGGCAGCACCATCCCACCGCAAAGCCCTTCAGGAACAAAGGATTCTCCCACCTCGCCCTTATGGAGCAGCTGGTTTCTAGTCAGGGGAAAGGCAAATACGTCTTCCGACCCCATTCCACCAGTACTAGTGCCGCCCTCAACTTGAATCCCACACCAAGTCCCACCACATCTACTACCACTGGCTTTATCGTCCCCCAGACCCCTAACCGTAATTTCACCACCATGCGCACTCCAGACACAGGCTTACTGGCCAGTGCAAATTCAAGTCAGGGTATGGATCCGGAATCCATCTCACCATCTGTCCCATCCACCTATCTTTCTCACTCTGCTGGCTCCTCAGTGGGAGCATGGACAAGTGTCAGCGATACTAGTGGAGCAAAGCGCAAATATAGCGCACTCTCTCCTGAAAGCGCTGCAGGCTCCAGTCACTCGAAACGGAGTCGTCCTCCATCTGCAACGCTGAAAGTTCAGCAGGAAGGCGCGGAAAGTATGAAGGATCTTGTCACTGTAGTTCGTGAGATGCAGAAGAACATGGGGCTGTCAGCCCCCCAGCAGTTACCATCACCACCCCAGCAAGTTTCAATGGCCGGGCTCGTGCAGGCTATCGCCCTCCTCAACCAATATGCTAACAGCGATCTTTTTGAAAGTGTTGAAGAGCAGCTGGCTATCGCTAACTATTTAGCGGATCATGAGAGCCAGGCGGTCCTTTTCTGCTCATTAAATGAGCAGACAAGACGTGCCTGGTTGGAGCAGAAGCGGCGCCAGCTGTGTGATATGCATGATACATTCATTGTCGTTTACCAAATTACATGATAGACTGTTGTGTACTACGTACTAGTACTTTGAACTTCGATCCCTATGAAAACTGTATAGCAGGCTATTCTACAGTTACAGCAGCCCCCGACGTGCGCGCTCCGCAAGATAATCGGTCCACATCGCTGCAGCGATTCCATCTCGACGGTTGTCTGCCTCCCTTCTCTCCCCAGCATCTGGCTGTCCTTCTGAAAGTGTGCCCAATACCGCACCATGAGTATCATCATTCTCCGCGAGATCATAATCCTCCTCGGGGTCGAAGAAGTCGGGATCGTGCTGGCGAATGAAGTTGTGGATAGCGCAAAGCGCTGCTGGGATCCGTGCTTGAATCTCCATGCTGTATTCTGGCGCAACCTGTAAAATCCGCCACTGACGCTTCAGGACTCCGAAAATACGTTCAATAACGTTGCGTAGCGAAGCATGTCGTAGATTGAATAGCTCTTTAGGATCTCTGGGCCTGTACATATAATTTAATCACACTAAGTACTAAGGAGACTCAGAGAAAACTCACGCAAGGTTCGCCTGACGCCACTCCTTCAGATGATAGCGCACGCCTCGATAAGGGATCAGTAGTGCGTCACAAGTGCCAAAACCGGCATCTGCGAGAAGATATTTCCCTGCAGGCATGTATAAGTCGGTTTTGCGTGCGTCATTCCAGAGTGATGCGTCAGCGACTGAGCCATCCCAGCCACAGAGAGAATATGTAAAGCGAAACTGGAAATCGCAGATGAACAGACAGTTCTGGGACAAGAATCCCTTTCGGTTGCGCAGGACGACATGGTCGTCGAGTGATGCGAATGCACGGATGTGGGTGCCATCTATGGCACCGATGCATCGATCAAAGAACCGGAATGACGGGTTGTCATGTATCATTGCGGAGATTGGTGTATTTTCGTTAGGAAACTTAACTTGCGATGTGTAGAACGGATGGGATGAAAAGAAAAAGAGCATCCGCTTGAAATATCTAGAACATGGTCATATTAAATGAATTAGATCAATAGATGTGAATGTACTACCTTGTTATGGTGTCTGGAGAGTGTTGAAACCTCTCCCCAACGAGGCGAGATGAAAGTCCAGTCACACATGTGTAAAGAAAGATACCAAGTTGCTCGTCGACCGAGATGCCATTGCGCGACTGAACAAATCCATGCTTGTGAAGAGTCTGCACCAAGCTCTCAAAGACTTCAAGATGGACGCCAAAATTATGTTTGATACGATCTGGGTGACCAGTAATCAGTTCAATCACCCATGCCTTCCCTGTTAAGATTGATGTGTGGTATGGCACTTTTTCAGCGCGGGATGTAAGTAGCAACTTGTAGTAGTAGGTGATCTGAGCGATAGCGATTGTTATCGCAAGAAGAATGAGGTGTTTCCGACGCAAGTCACTTTGTGCTTCGAGGTCCATGCTTAGTTGCGGTGATGGTTGCAGTGCAAGATCTAATTCAGTAGTATTAAGTTAATCAATAATCAGAATCAGTCGGAACAGTCGGCGGAATCTAGGTCACCAAATACATCACGTGCAGTGTCACATGATGGTCGAATTTTGAATTGAATTATAATATTCGCTGTCCAAAACAGGACCTTATGCATTATGAGACATATGCAATAGCATATGTGTCACACTATTGTGACGCATGTGACCTCCGCCAAAAGTGTGACAGAAAATCGTCCATAGTCCTACAGAAGTACATGTATTATACCGAGAAGAATTGTTCTAAAGAAGTTTGTCTAGCATTAAGTAGTTCTTCGCGTCGTAGGTTCGCGCGAAACTTTCGAAGTTGTGATGATAAATCAAGTGAAAATTGAGGATCACCATATTGCATGCATCCAACTTCAAGCTGCTGGCACAAATCGAGAATATTTTGACGAGTGATTGATGGATCCGCTTCGTCGTCGTCGTCGTCATCAGAATCAACCTCGATAACTTCACCATTTGCAACGGCAATTTCGTGGCGGACCGTGTCTGCAATGGATGAGTCACCACCTTCAAAAGCAGAGAATTCTCCCTTATCTCTCTCCTCGGCGGGGTCCAGAAGTTCATCAATAGTTGGCAAGGTACCGAAAATGCGATTGCGTGCTTGGAGTTCTCGGACTGATTGCATAAGCGCAGCTTCGGTAGAAGATAGCTGGGCAGCTTGTTGTGAGCGCGCGGGAATACGAATTTTGAGGCCGGTACGACGAGATGCAGCTTGCATAAGTGCATCAATGGCATTTAAAGCCATCTCCACATCTCCTTCAGCATCCATTACAGCTTTGAGGGCCGGTCTCCAATCAGAATCTATGTAGCGCTCGCCAAGAAGAGCCTGTAGCTTGTTCTCCGTATTGGGAAGGGACATTTCGGTAGTTGCGAATTTGTGGACGATGTTCCACGCAAGTGGATCCGTGTGAGGCCGTGTGTCAGCGTTAGTCGTTGGATCACTGTGATAGACTTGAGCACCCAAAAAAATGAGGTCAAAAGATGACTTACACTTGAATGTCAGTGTGATCCCAACAATGTTTGATGGTTTCGGACGTGACAGCATACCATGCTTGCTTCGCCATTGTCATGCCTTCGAGAATATTAATTTTATAAATATCCCGTTCGCCAGCTTCGTCAAGATCAATAGCACGCGCGCAAAAATTACGGCGATATAGTGCCTTGAAGCATCGGATGATTCCAGCATCGCATGGTTGGACAAATGGTGTCCCGGCTCACACATAATTACATCAGCGTATATTCTCACGACCATCACTTTGCTTTGTTGTGGCAGTCGGCGCGCTAGAGTCCTTGCTCGTGGACGATCACATTATAATCTTCGTTTATATCGGAATTACGGTAATATGGTATGTTCTCTAAAACATGCAAATTGGGCTTTCATTGACCTTGTTTATAGGGCATTCCCGCACTGTTCCGTTGGTTGAGCAAGAAATATCCGAAAATTGGTGAGCAACCGGTGCTTAACTGGTATTTGCTTGGCTAACAGCTACCAGTATCATCTGTCATTGAAGCTGAGGAGGAAGTTCTCGATGCAGCTGGAGATCCTATCAAACTTTCCGTTGACATCACACAACCTAACCCCAATGGTGAGGAATTCGACAGCTTATACCTGGATATGAACGGTATCGTGAGTGATAGTAGTAAATACGTTTTTCGTGCTGACCATCCGTACGCACAAAGGTTCATCCTTGTACTCATCCCGAGGGCAAAGTACGCATACTTCGTTCTATAAATTTGCTTTACTCCCTGACTCGTTCCGCAGCCGGCTCCCGAAACGGAGGAGGAAATGATGCTTGAAATTTTCAAATACACTAACAGAGTGGTTAACATGGTACGGCCGCGCAAACTTCTTTTCATGGCTATTGGTGCGCTTTACATTTATGTTGTCTCATACCACGAACTTACTGCAGTGTGCAATTAGATGGCGTTGCACCTCGTGCCAAGATGAATGAACAGCGAGGTAGACGGTTCAGGACTGCTCAAGTAGCAAAAGACAAGGCGGAAGCTCATAAACTTGCTGTCGCTGAGTGGGAAGGTACGTCGTTCTCAGAGCCAATCTATGCTGTGTTTCTGACCGATTTCATCATTGCAGCTATGGGTAAAATTATTACTGATGACGAGAAAAAGAAGGAATCTTGGGACTCTAACGCTATCACACCCGGTACGCCGTTTATGAACCTTTTAACAGCATCGCTACGGTACTGGGTTGTGGAGAAGATGAATGCCGATCCAGGGTGGAAAGACGTACGTAGTGAACATTTTCTAGGAATCCTTCTGACTCATTTCTGGTATAGCTGCAAGTCATTATCTCGGATGCAAGTGTGCCTGGAGAAGGAGAGCATAAGATTATGGACTTCATACGCAGACAACGCACAAATCCCGGTCATGAGCCTAATACTCGACACGTAATTTATGGTTTGGTGGGTTGCCAGTGATTTCCCGCTATCGTGTTCTGTGTTATTGACCGTATGTTCAGGATGCTGATTTCATCATGCTCGCCCTCGCGACCCATGAACCATATTTCCGAGTACTGCGGGAAGATGTATTTGCCAGGACAAAGGTTCCGGGTGCCGAATGTGTGGACAAGAAGGTCACTATGCCGCTCAATGTACAGCACTGAAATCAGAGATTGAAAAGCCTCCTCCACCGGAAAAAAAACCGTTCATTTTCCTCGATATCGCCATTCTGCGCGAGTATCTGGAATCCGAGTTGAATGTGAACAATACGCCCTTCCCTTTTGATTTGGAACAGGCTATTGATGACTGGGTGTTACTGATATTCTTTGTCGGCAACGATTTCTTGCCGCATTTGCCGTCACTTGAGATTCGCGAAGGAGCGATTGATACTCTCTTGAGGATCTGGAAGATGGAGTTGCCCAGAATGGGTGGATATCTGACGAACCACGGTCAACTAGTGCTTAGTCGTGTGCAGATTATATTAGAGGGACTGGCACGACGAGAAGATGAGATTTCCGTAAGCGACAAGAGAGTGAGTATCTATGATGTGATCCGTCAACGCCTTAGAAACTTACCATATCTCAGCTGAGCAACGCCAAGATCAGAGGCGAAACGTCATAGATTGAAAAGTCTGAGTCTGGAGAGAACGCCAGGCGATATTCAGTTCGCCGTTCCGTCTGCGAAACTTGGTCTGACTGCATCCACTACATCATTATCATCTCTTCCTCAACGTGCAGATAATGCTTTTGCTGCCAAGGCCGACTCTATTGGTCTCGGAGCGCCGCGTAATGCTCAGTCTCTTGAAGTCGCTCCAGTTTCAGCGCAAGCACTGGCTGGTTCGAATCGTGATGTAGTTGCCAATCGAGCTGCTATACGGATGGCGAACATGAGTGCTGCAGAGATGCTCAAGGCTGAGCTATCTGGACTCATTCCTGTGAAACAAAGTGCTTCTGCTCCTAAACCTGAGCCGGTTGTTCCTACTCCTCCACCCAAAACAGACGCTGAGCTTATGGATGGCGGAGATATTCCGAGTTTGGGAATGCTTCATCAGCACTTGAATTTGTCGATGATGGGGCTGGTGACATGGATGTCGAGCCCAATGATCCTGTAACCTTCCAGCTGATGAGCCTGTAACACCTGTCGCTGGTGTCAAGCGGAAGCTCGAAGATATCGAGGGAGAGGATACCGATGACGTGGCTGGCATTGATGAGGAGTCGTCTGAAGATAACGAAGATGCGTCTTACGCCCTGGTAGTCAGGCCGATGGCTCAGTTGAGCAGGCCGATAACGTGAGGTATGAAAAAGCTGTGAAATTATCCAATGCTGTGAATAACATTTCCTCAGATTGTATGAACCCGGGTATAAGAAGCGATACTATCAGCAAAAGTTTGGCATATCAGAAAATGATAATGATTTCGTAGAAAGTGGGCACTTTTGTTATCGATTTCTGCACAAACTGGCTGACTCTGCTGTGCAAAGGCTAACAAAGCACTATGTAGAAGGTATCGCGTGGGTTCTGCATTACTACTGTCAAGGGGTGAGCTCCGTCCGCCGATTCGCCTTTATTTGCTGACTCGGTAGTAGAACCCCTCATGGCAATGGTATTATCCATATCATTTTGCACCTTTCGCGTCGGACTTCGAAGGTTTGGAAAACATGCAAATCGACTTTACTCTCGGACAGCCATTCAAACCGTACGAGCAACTTATGGGTGTTTTTCCCCCTGCTAGGTACGTCCACATTGAGTAATAATTTTGCTACGTAGCTCACCAGTATCGTCAGTCGCAAGCACATACCTGAAGTCTTCCACGATCTCATGACAAACGAAGAATCTCCGATTCATGATTTCTACCCATCGACTTTCCAGATCGATATGAATGGGAAGAAGATGTCTGGCAAGGTGTTGCTCTCTTGCCTTTCATAGACGAGAAAAGGTTATTAGATGCCATGGCCGAGCACTACCTAAGCTCACTGAGGATGAGGCCGAAGAAATAGCTGGGGTCAAACTGTCATATTTGTCGCTGATGAACATTCAAATATCCATTCTTCGAGGGATTGTATGGTAAGCGCAAGGAGAAAGAGGTATGCCGTCAATTCGACCAGAGCCGTTTTGTTACTGACTACAATACTCAGCCCCAACCCATGCCTACCAACCTGTCCAAGGGCATTAGCGGTAGTGTTTACCAAACCCCGATTGTTTACCTGGCTCGACGTATTACTCCCCTTGAGTTCCACGAACCTGCAAGATATCAAAAATGATCGTTGTCTCTCCGCGTTATACTTCTTCCCAAAGCAACTCTCTCCCCATCGATCGATGTTTCTTCCAGGTTATAAACCTGCGAGACAGCTCACTGGCGAGGATCTAGCTCGGAGGGGCCGAGGACATGGCAGAGGGGGCGGTATGGATCGCGGCGGTCGCGGACGAGGTGGTATCAGAACGGCTCTTACAACAACGGACATGGGTATGGCAGCATCCATGGCCAATCGCAAACTCCGACGTCATACGTCTCCTCGTACACCACCACTCAGTCTCGAACACCGTACATCAAGGGCCCCAGCAAGGATTCGGAGGCTATGGCTCCAGTGGACGCCACCAATTCAACTATGGTATGGTTATTCTGGTCAGTCGCGTGGTGGTCCACCCCCTCGAGGAGTGCCCCTCCCTCGCGTGGAATGCTACCAAACCGCGGTGGTCCTCCCCGTGGCGGCCCTCTCGTGACGGTAGTTCCGGGTATGGAGGTTCTACGTCCTTATTAACCGCTCATCAACCGTATGGCCGTGGAGGCTACTCTGGTGGGTACGGTGGCAGCAGTGGAGGGTATGGTGGACAGCGAACAGTGGTACGGGGGCTACGGTGGCAGGCAAGCCGAGGTGGCTATGGTGGTTCAGGAGGACAAGACAACAGCGGCAGTTACATGGGTTATGGAAACCAGAATGGCGGACAGGCTCGTGGTGGCTATGGAGGTGGCTACAATGGAGGAGGTTACAGAACCTTCGAGGGGCCGAGCCGAGGATTCTAGAGTAAATTATTTGGATACTACCTCGTTAATATTTTCTTGGCAGATATGTTGTATTTTAGACCATTGATGTATATATTTCTTTCTGATTATACCAACAAGTGTTCCGTTTACCTTCGGGGGCGAGGCGTATTGTTTCGTGAATTACAATAAGCACACTATGTTCGCGGTCGTCTTTTCCTCATCGTCTGTTGCACCGTGAATGCTCGAATGGCTCGCCGACATCGCACTCGGAGTCCAGGTTTGGTCCAGGTGGAGCTCACAGACAGGAGTGTCACGCGAATTGCTTCCGCAGGATCAAACTCGCTACATCGATATGAAAATGGCCTCAGGCACCTAGTGTGATATCAGTTTTTTGGATGTCACGGGGAACACTCTAATGACTAATGAATACTCCCTGGTACTTAGTGAATGTCATCCACGGTCCTTGAACGGTGTCGCAGTGATTGAAATGCATTCTGGGTTCTGCCATGTAGTGAGAAACGCGATAAGGATGTCGTCTTATGACGCACTAGACGAATGTTCGAGTTGTATTTTGGGCTGAGTAATAAAAATAGGAATAGTCTTGGCGTGCGCCACAAAATTTGCAATTCAAGGGCGCTTCAGGTGCACAGCCTTAGTCCACCCCAGTCAAACCAAATACATAGACTGCAAAGTGAACACGCGGGTGACAAAGGCTCCGTGTCCCTGTGCGCGTCCGTAAGTCAAGTCCTTCGTTTCTCTCAAGTAATGATCGATTCCACTCTCCCAGGGTGACTCCAGTGGGTGCTTGATGGCTACACACAGCATCCTGCCCAACTACTCGTCGTTGACTAGTCGACTTCTCATCCTGTAATGCATTCCTGACCTCATGTTGTCAATTTTCTGCATGACCACGCATCCACGATACATCGTCCCGATCCCGACTTTTCTATCGGGTTGGAGATATTCTCTTTGGCAGGCCAAGTGAGCCGCACAAGCATAGCTCAGCAGTAGTTGACGTCCCGTATGCCAAGGGCAGCGTATGCTCCCGTCTTCCTTCACCAGTGTTTGAACCCATCTATGATATCACGTGGAAAAACGCCTCAGCAAGAAAAACGGAAGCCAATCTCAAAAAACGCTGCTAAAAGTAGTTCGCACCCTCCCAATGGCAATGTCACACAACGTTCCAAGTTGCAACGGACAGCTCAGGCTCGTCTACCACACCCCCCGTCGTTGTTACTACCTCGTGTAACGATAAATCACGCTGGACGCTGGACTTTCTTCTGGTTCTTTGTCTGTTGTGCATCTACTGAGTATACTGTCGGTCATCATTAATAAAGATCTCTCTCGTGACTCGGACGTTATCCCATCCCTTGAGTACAAGCAATGGTAGGAATGACTATTTTCCTTCTCTTATGATCTCACTAGGGGAAACTAATACAATGGACGTACGAAGTCGTTGTTGCATACTTACTTTATACGTGGTAGAGAGGTTAAACGAATCATCCGTGGCCTGGCCGGATTGAGCCTCGTATAGATATCCCGGCCATCATTGGTTCTTATCTATAAGTAAGTCTCATTCCTTGTTCGCAACACAGTGGCGCAGACATAGTGGAATACCATGGCATATTTGACAGCAGCTGGTTGTTTCTGACTGGGACTGAGACATTCTTTTACAGCCGAAATCAAAGGCACAGCGGCGGTCGACCTTGTCCACGCGATATTCGTGTCTCAATCGCCTCCCACACCACACACACTTTCGGGTTCTTGGTCTCATGATGAACTTTGATAGTCCTTTTAACTTTCCAGGCTATCTTTGTCTGTTTCCTATATCACCACGTGTTAATCAGGTGCTGAACAGACAACACAGAAATACTCTCGGAGCATGTAACATACAGTACAAAATGTTCTCCGTCCCAGAGATCTATCCTGATTCCTGATTCCCCTCATAAGTCGGCGCCGAAGAAAAATCGTACTTACACTGACAATGAGATACCTTACGGGTCGAGTCAGAGCTGGAAAATGAAGCCTGCTGGAACTTTCCGGCACCACGCGTCCAGCTGAGCAAAAGTGACACTTCCTTTCATAAATTCCTTCGACGACGAGCTCGAACCCGCTCTCTAAGCCCACGCGGCTACTCGGTCCTTACAAAGGCCACCGGCCCACCGCCGTGATAGCGGTCTAGATTTCGCTATTATGTAAGCAATACCTGCCTGGTGTATGAAAACAGCAAGTCACCAGTAGGTACAATATCTTCAACATGTTCGTCAGCTCATGCAGGACTATACTCGGGCTAAAAGTGATAAGTGATTGATCACCCTTGCCCAGCTACAAATATTGAGTTCGGAGACTTCAATCTTGAATTTCGTCGGAGGCTGACCTGGCCTGAAACGGATCCATGTTCTGTATTTAATTCTCAATGGTGAGTAGTCTACCTCCTTTCACCATCCCCCAGTCGATCATAGTGTCATGTCCATAACGGACGTTGCCCACCGTCTTATCCTTACAGTGATCAGTCTTATTGCGTTTATGACATCCAAAATCCTCAGTTACGCCGTCGAGCGCCAGTGGAGCGGGACGTCAGCCCTGGGAACGCTGAGTCCTTGACGATTTGTAAAGAAACACAGTACAAGGCCAGCGATATTTATGAACTACTACACTTGTATTAAACTTTGACCATTCCTCAAACAGTTCGCCAATCTCATCAGCCAAGGGGAATTTTACGAGAGGATCGTATTTTACCACTCATCGAAATGGCATGTGTACCAGAAAGGGCGATATGCAGGATTTATGACAGTCTTCCCGGTATGTCGTTGAACCTTTTGTCTTTCGTTGCACGTTTCTGAGACCTTCTTCTTTGTTTACTTCTAGGCAAGTGAATCTAATTGCGTTGATCTATACGTGTCGAAGAGCCTGAGATTCTTCGGGAAAATTCTTGGTGTTCTCGGCTTGGTATGCTCACGTCATTATGTTCCTTGGCGCACTATCACGATCTATGAGCAGCCACGTTATCCACCGAGAGTGCCCGGGATGAGGCTAATCAAATATGCACCTTTGTTTCCACGCTTGGCTTCCCAGCTGCCCTGGAGCTCTCGTCATCTCGAAAATGTTTCGAGCGTATGCAAAGACACCCTAAGGAGAAGAGAGTATGTCGAGGTCCTTGCAAAAAGTATAATCAGGCGCAAAGTGAAAGAATCGCAATTAGGCCACGGCAGCATCAGTCCATCATATCATCCGGTCCCAAGTCCGAATAGCCAGAAAGCACACGACCTCCGCAAAGCTCTCGTGAAGACACTAGGAGCTAGCGCATTGAAGAGGGAGTCACTCGTGATCAAGGAGAAAGAAGCACCCCACACTCCGAAGGAAATCCGTTTGGAGCGTCGCATGCGTTTGGCCCTTGGAGAGAATCTATCGATCAAGAACCTTGCTTCCGCTGCTATTGCGAGAAAGGCGCCTGCATCTCCTCTGCCGGACCGTTCGCCATCCCGAATCCATTCTCTACAGCCGAAGACGCGTTATCGAAACCAGAAGTCGAGTCGTCACAGTCTTCATGAAGCGGCGGCCACCTCGTTCACACTGTTTGTGAACCTCGGCCCGGACTCGGAAGACGCTGTTCCGGGTTCAAACGTTCACTCGCTGTAGTCTCTATGTAAATATTGTATGCCATGCTTGTGAGCTTATCTGTGAATGAACCTGCAAGTTGAATGAATGAATGAATTTTTATTTGACCGTCTATGTGTAAGTAGTCGAGACTGTCGTCCCTCGACCGTTACTAGGCCAAAAGGCAGTGATAATCAAACGTGCTTCGGACAATATTATTTATGCTGGAGCGAGCTTACACTGCGTTCTCATAAGCTAAAGCACTGAATTGAATTTATTTGGCCGCATCTACGCTCACATCAGCCAAATCACGAGGACGACCAGTTCGTACCGCATCAGCCGATTTCCCAGTCCGCTACAAACCCCTAATCTCCGGCTTCAAAGCTTCAACCTTCGTAGTGTGAGCACGCGAAGCTTTTGTCGCGGCCTTGAAACTATCTCATCGATTCCTCGTCAGTCGGCATTCATACAAGCTGGTAGCTGGGCATTCCAGACAAAGTACTTGTGGTTTTTGAGGAGTGTACAAAATGTTACGCAATCATAGTAGTATTACATGTTTTAAATTTGTAATCGGACAGTCGTGTGTCAACAATTTTGATGTGACTTACCTCCGGGTCCGTATATAGCCCATTATTTATATCAGTCAGCTTCGCCATCGATAGTCGTTGTCGCACCTTATGGCGTCTTGTCGGGACGTTGAAGGATGGTGCATCGTATCAAAGCTTCGTGAACTTGATTTTACTCTTTGCTTTGAGGAAGGCGTCATTTTAACATCTCTTTTGGCTTTACTGCTACTGTCGGCAACATGCAGAATTTGGGCTTTGAGATATCTTCCGTCTCGTGATATCTCGCGGAAAAGTCGATGGATGTTATGGGCGAAACTGGTGCGTTCTAATAGCTTCATGTGTCTACCTCGAACTAACTTGGTGGGCAGATTTTGTTGGGACTGGCCATTGTTGCGTCCTGCTTCAACCTCTTCATCGTCTTGTCACTCAAGAGAACAGCATCGGTTGTGTGGCCTTACATCCTCGAACCACTCGCGCTACTTGCGTCTTGGATACTCACCCGGCTGAACCATCGTCGGACACGGGCATCATCAACTATCCTCCTACTATTTTGGCCTTGTTACACCGTCGGTCTCGCAATATGGACTAGATCTTTCGTGCAGGGCGAAGCTTCCAAGGGTCTTTTCGTAGTTCTTTCAAAATGGGCCGTCGAACTTTTCTCTCTCCCGGCATACGCGCTGGAGTGCGTCTCCCCTGATGATTCGGTCCAGGATAATACAGAGAGCCCGATAGTCACGGCAAATGTATATAGTATCTGGTCATTTGCGTGGTTGACGCCATTGATGCAGAAAGGTTCGAAAGAGTTCATCACTGAAAACGACTTGCCTGCTTTGCTTCCCCGTGACGAGTCAGAGAATCTCGGAAACGATCTAGAGAATGCTCTGGAAAAACAGTGAGTGCAATTTTGATAAAAAGGGTTTTCTTTGTCCGACCATGTTGCAGCTCGTCCGTATGGCTCGCATTGTTCCTATCTTATGGTGGCCCGTATGCGGGTGCTGCAGCCTTGAAAATCTTGCAGGATATTCTTGCATTCCTGCAACCTCAACTTCTCCGATGGCTCCTGGCATACATCTCGAACTATCAGAGCACCAAAGGCGCGTCTAACCTCCTTGTTGGTCCGAGTCCACTCGAGGGATATGTCGTTGCTATCATCATTTTGTGGCATCCATGGCGCAGAGCGTTGTTCTCCACCAGGTAACCCAGCCAATGTGATTGTGTTCACGACACTGACCACAATACAAACAGTACTTCCAAATCTGTTTCGAGACAGGTATGCGTGTCCGCGCTGGCTTGGTGACTGCCATCTACAAAAAGTCTCTCGTGCTTTCTAGCGATGAGCGAGGGAGTCGGGCATCTGGAGATATTGTCAACTTGATGTCCGTCGATGCGAGTAGACTACAGGATCTATGCACCTATGGTCTGATTGCGATCTCTGGACCATTCCAGGTAAGGCAGATTACTCCCTATAATAACCAGGCTCACACTATCGTCAGATTACACTGGCTTTTGTATCGTTGTACAACCTTCTCGGATGGTCAGCTTTTGTCGGAGTTGCGATCATGATCATCTCTATTCCGCTAAATACGGCAATTGCACGGATGCTAAAGAAGATGCAAGAACAACAAATGAAGAATCGCGATCGCCGAACGAGGCTAATGAGCGAGCTTCTGGCCAATATTAAAAGGTACGTCAGCCTCGTGTACGCGGAGAATTTCATTAACGATCGTTCTTTGTACAGCATCAAGCTTTATGCATGGGAATATGCATTCATCCGCCGCGTTCTGCATGTGCGCAATGATTTGGAGCTGAAGATGTTGAAGAAAATTGGGGTCGTAACGGTACGCATTGATTTCAAGACAGAGTAGCCCGTATTCATCCTTGCGCATCTATCAGGCTCTCAACACGACGCTTTGGGGAGGCATTCCTTGTGTGTCCCCCGCCTTTGACTCGCTGCTCACAACTAACAAACAAGTCTCTCAGTAATCGTCGCGTTTAGTTCTTTTGCCACCGCATCTGTGTTCTCGTCGCGACCACTCACGGCTGACGTCATCTTCCCTGCGATCTCACTGTTTATGCTTCTCCAGTTCCCACTTGCTATGGTGAGTGATAATTGCATCGCAACTTCAACAATCGTTGACTGTGTCACAGTTCAGTCAAGTCACGTCGAACATCATCGAGGCACTTGTTTCCGTCAAACGCCTGTCAGATTTCCTGCACGCTGAGGAGCTGCAACAAAATGCCCTCGTGAAGGTGCAGAAAAGCACTCTGAACATTGGTGACGAGGTCGGCAATTCTCTAACTGCTTATGATCGTTTTCACATTTGTGACAGGTGCTTTCAATCAAAGGTGGCGAGTTCCAGTGGAACAAACAAGATATTTCAGCTGCTCTGGAAGATATAAACTTGACGGTGCATAAGGGGGAACTAGTGGGTGTACTTGGTCGTGTGGGCAGCGGGAAGAGTAGCTTGTTGTCAGCGATTATCGGGGACATGCGAAAGGCAGAGGGTGAGGTGGCTTTGTCCGGCAATGTAGCTTATGCCGCTCAAAATCCTTGGTGCGTCACATGTGCGGCATTTTCTAGTATGTTCACTCACAAGCGAATAGGATTCTTTCTGCGTCGGTTCGAGATAATATCCTTTTTTCACACGAGTACGATGAGGTGTTCTATAACCTTGTTATTGAAGGTATGTACATGACTAATTGTATGAGATTGGACTGACCTTTATCTACAGCTTGTGCTTTGAAGCCCGACTTAGAGCTTCTCCCACAGGGTGATCTGACAGAGGTCGGCGAAAAGGGTATGTTTCTGACCATCTCTTTGGCGAGCCAACAATGTTCATGGGGTCCGTTCTATAGGCATTACTGTAAGTACTTCAGGATAGTAACATATCAGCTGAAGGCAAATGATCTCTCAGCTCAGTGGTGGTCAACGTGCTCGTGTCGCGCTTGCTCGTGCGATCTATGCTCGTGCAGATCTGTAAGTGTCTTCTGTTCACAGATAGTATGGTGCTAACGCATGCGTCCTCCAGGGTTCTCCTTGATGATGTTTTAGCTGCCGTCGATTCCCATGTTGCCCGACATGTCTTTGGTGAGTAAGAGCATCTGTCTCAGACTGACTTCTTTCTAATGATACTATGTAACAGATCATGTTATCGGTCCTCAAGGCTTACTTGCAACGAAAGCGCGCGTTCTTGTCACTAACAGCATCTCGTACCTCAAGTATTTCGATCAACTTGTTTACCTGCGCCGCGGTATTATCTTGGAGAGTGGCTCGTACGATGAGTTGATGTTGAATCCGGATAGTGAAGTGCGCAAGCTTGTGTGCGTATATTTCGATTCATGATGTTCGATGCAATCTAATTGAGCCATGACAGTCACGGTCATGCCACGAGCGGTTCCAACTCTGGAATGACCACACCTGGACGGTCCAGCGGCATGTCCACTCCCACTACAGCGAGGGGGACATGCAAGCCACCCTTGTTGGAGAACTTGAATCTGTATCAGAGAAGGTATCGCGTAGAGAAAGTTTCACAAAAGCTGTCCTCGCTACGGCGCCCAAGCTGCGCGACGCGTCTTCCGATGGCATCACGAAAGAGCACAGTGAACAGGGCCGCGTCAAGATGGAAGTGTACTCGCAGTACCTCCGAGCAGCATCGAAAAAAGGGTTCCTGTTCTTTGTACTTGCTACGGTTCTGCAGCAGGTGGTATCTGTCATGTCGACCGTAATGCTCAGGCTCTGGGGCGAGCATAACCGCGAGATGGGTGCCAACGCGGGATTGACCGACAAGTATTTCCTGGGATATGGTCTGTCCAATTTGATGGCCATTTTCTTAGGCGCATGTGCTGCGCTTCTGATTTGGGTTTTCTGCTCGCTTCGGAGCTCAAAGCACCTTCATGATTCGGTTAGTGTTGCGTTCCAAGTATGGATGAAAATTTTCATCTATTTTTCAGATGCTGCATTCGGTCATGCGTGCGCCTCTCAGCTTTTTCGAGACAACGCCAACGGGACGGTGCGTCAGATCAGTCAACTGTGGAATGATTTCTGAGCTCGAACAATCTCTTGTTGCAGTATCCTGAACTTGTTTTCTCGTGATACATATGTTGTCGATCAAATCCTGGCGCGAGTGATCCAAAATATGATACGCACAAGCGCGGTCTGCGCTTCTATTTTATTGGTCATCGGGTTCAGCTTCCCGCCCTTCTTGATCGCCGTCGTTCCTCTGGCATGGTTTTACTACAAGATCACCGTGTATGAATTGCTCTGTTCTTCTTCCAGAATCATCCTGATATTATCAATAGGTACTATCTCGCGACGTCACGTGAACTCAAGCGTCTGGATGCGGTGTCCCGCTCACCCATCTTTGCGTGGTTCTCAGAATCCTTGGCTGGAATTTCCACTATCCGGGCTTACGACCAACAAGCCGTCTTCATTGCGAACAATGCTCGCCGCATTGATCGCAACCAGTTGTGCTACCTTCCTAGTACTGCCGTCAACCGTTGGCTTGCAGTAAGATTGGAATTTGTTGGAGCAGTGATTATCTTTGTCACGGCTGCTTTGGCTGTCTCTGCCGTTATGACCAGCAACGTTGATGCAGGATTGGTCGGTCTAGTTCTGTCATATGCTTTGAACACAACAGGTTCACTGGTGAGTGGCTTTCTTTCCGTTCCGAGGTGTTGGCAACTAAGCGGCCGCAGAACTGGTTCGTCCGCTCCGCAAGTGAAGTCGAACAGAATGTGGTTAGCGTCGAGCGTATCGTCCACTATGCGAAAGACCTTGAGCCAGAAGCTCCTTATGAGATCCCTGAGAATAAGCCCACCTCTGAGTGGCCCACAGCTGGGGAAGTTGAATTCCGGTGAGTTCGTGTCGCTGTATGCACGAAATTGTATTGAACTTGTCTGATATAGGGAGTACTCAGCACGGTATCGGCCCGGGCTTGATCTAGTCCTCAAGGATATTTCCATGACCATAGTCAGTCATTCCGCCAGGTTTCTCGCATATGTACGCTGACTCGAGATGTTCTAGAAACCGAAAGAGAACATCGGAATATGTGGCCGGACTGGGGCAGGGAAATCATCGGTAAGATTTTTCCCCTTTTTGTTGGACTGTGATGATACTTTTGCAGCTTCTTCTTACCCTCTTCCGGATCATCGAGCCTGCATCTGGAGCTATCCTCATTGACGAAGTAGACATTACCAAACTTGGCTTGCATGATTGTGCGTATTCTTTGAGTTGTCCGTTTGGACACCCCTTAATCAAACCAACAATAGTGCGGTCCGCGATATCCATTGTTCCTCAAAACCCAGATTTGTTCGAGGGCACATTACGAGAGAACATTGACCCTGTTGGCGAGCATCAGGATGTTGATATATGGACTGCTTTGGAACATGTCCGTCTTTGAAATATGTTTGTACTTCTGATGCTTACCAACGACGTTTCTATAGGCCCATCTGAAGGCATATGTTGATTCACTCCCTGGGGGACTAGATGCCCCAGTTCAGGAGGCCGGATCATCGCTTTCAGCAGGTCAGAGACAGCTCTTGTGTTTCGCGAGGGCGCTCTTGCGCAAGGTACGAGCGTCTCTTTGGTTGATTGTAAGTTTTCATTGCTGACACTCCCTAGACTAAAGTGCTCGTCCTCGATGAAGGTCTGTATGAGCGGTACCTTGTTCTTCTCCGAGGCTAATATGCATGATTCTCTAGCAACATCTGCAGTTGATCTAGATACCGACCGAGCGATTCAAGAAATCATCCGGGGTCCAATCTTCCGTGATGTGACCATTCTAACTATTGCGTATGTGACATGTCCAACATCATCGATGATTAGTACCAATAATGATCCTATAGGCACCGCTTGAACACGATCATGGAGTCTGATAGGATTCTGGTTCTAGATGCTGGGAGGGTAAGCACACTCTTTAGCAACAACGTTCATACATAATTTATTTTTAATTGGCCAATTTAGATTGCAGAATTTGATACTCCAAAGAAGCTGCTGGAGAACAAGAGTTCTATCTTCCGTTCTATGGCGATGGAGGCCGGTCTAGTTCAGGTCCAGCTTGATGATGCAGAAGTGAACGCACAGGAGTAAATATACCTAATCATGCACAACATTTCTTGGTCTTATTCAGAAACATGACGTTATAGCTATGTAGATTGCCATATTTTTGCTCTGAATCTTATGTTTCGCTGTCAGCTATTCAATATTCAATCGTGAGACTCGATAATGCAATTGGGGTGCCCCGATACTCGCCTTGCGATGTACTGCAGAAGCATCAGGGCGTCTTTACTACTACCCAATGAATGCCTCGGAAGAAATGGAAGAGGTTGAAAGTTATTTCAAACGAATTTCCGTTCTCAATTGAAATTACTACCAGTAGTAGGACTCCTACCAAAGATATTAGGCTTGACCTGGTACCTGTGACGATCTACGGAGCGTTGATCTGTTTGCGCCGCTGCCAATAGTGAAATCGACATGCGCTGTGAGGGAGATTAGACGTTCGAGGCACATAGTAAAGTCACAATCTTTAATTAGTAATTTCCTTCAATGATAGTGCAGCGCATGCATGCATACGTACTGCAGAGCCAACAACATCTTCCGAAACAGGAGTGTAGATCTTCACCATCATCGCTTCACCTCGTACTTTTCCCAGCCAACTTCTTCCAGCTTCTCAACCTTTGCGACAACCTCGCTCTCTAATCCTCTTAGATACACATCAATGTCTGCAAACAAGTGAGGTATACCAGCCCCGAGAATCCGCACAGCTAGCAATCCAGCATTCATACCGCCGTTAATTGCAACCGTCGCTACAGGTATACCTCGCTGTGGTGACACTCAGACATCAACGAATCACATAAAGACTCAAAAACCCTCACCGGCATTTGCACAATACTATGCAACGAATCAACACCATCCAGAGAGCTTCCTTTCACAGGAACTCCAATGACAGGAAGCGCGGTCATGGCAGCAACCATGCCAGGAAGATGTGCTGCACCACCTGCTCCAGCAATGATCGTCCTCAAACCCCTTGAACTCGCTGACCTTGCGTATTCGACGAGGCGATCTGGTGTGCGATGTGCAGAGACAATGGTGAGTTCATAAGGAATCTTGAACCGATCCAGAATACGAGCAGCCGGCAACATCACAGGAAGGTCGGAGTCGGAGCCCATGATCACACCAACAAGCGGATGTTTGTGGGAAAAGCCGCTGCCTTGTGCGGGGGTTTCTGGGACGTATAGAGCGAGTTCTTCTTCAGTACTCCCTGACGGTAATGCCTTTAACAGTGGTCGCAGGCGAGAGCGGACCTCTGAATCTGAGTTGCCCACGACGGTGACGTGTCCCATTTTACGTCCTTTGCGACACTCCGATTTACCATACAGATGGACCGCACAACCGTCTGTCTTGATACACTCAGATGCAAAATTCGTGACTTCTGCCATGTTGGATGAAGCGCCAATGATATTCAGCATTGCAGCTGAAGACACTTTTAGTGACGTGGAACCAAGCGGGAGTGACAGTATGGCGCGCAGATGATTTTCGTACTGGGAGGTTTCGCAAGCCTCTATGGTATAATGTCCAGAATTATGTGGCCGAGGGGCAATTTCGTTGATATAGATAGAGCCTGGCAGAATCGGTAGGTTAGACTGGTTCGCACAATCCAAGAGAAACTATCTACCGTCTTCCATGAGAAACAATTCGACTCCAAAAACACCAGCGCCCTGGAAGGTCTTGACTGCGGCTTCGGCTACGCTCTGTGCGCGAATAGCAATATGTGGATCGCGACTCCGCAAGGGGGCAAACACCAAATGACAAATGTTGTCTTTGTGCACGGTCTCCACAGCGGGATATGAGCGAACCTCCCCTGTCGTGGAGCGCACTACCATGACAGCGATCTCCTTCACGAATGGCACCCACTTCTCGGCATACAAGGGACGATTCCCGAGGGCAGAGATAGCTTCTTCCGCTTGAGCAATATTCCGAACAACAAAATTTCCCCGCCCATCATATGCCAACGTGCGACTTTTGAGCATGAATGGCAAGCCAAAATTTTCCGCAGTTTGATGTATTGATGTGACATTGGATTCGATACAGAGAAATTCTGACACGGGACATTGGTGACTCTGGAGGTGCTGTTTCTGTATCAATTTGTCTTGAATAGTCTTCACCGTAGACGGACTGGGATGAATGACAGCTCCGGACACTGACTGAATCTCTTCAAGTATGTTCGTATCGACGTGCTCAATCTCAACAGTTAGGATGTCGACCTTGCTGGCCAGTGCCTTGATTTTTTCTGGGTCTACGAAAGATCCATCGATGTGAGCAAGAAGGGGAGATCGCGGGGACACAATCTGTTTTGCTGGACTATTTTCTCCAACATCGAGGAATACAATATTGACGTTGAGCAGAGCCGCCGAAGCGGCTAGCATTCGCCCGAGCTGACCTCCGCCTAGAACAAGCAAGTCAGAGGAAACGATAAAAAACTAGAGACATAGCCTGGTAGATATCATGAGCGCTTAAATCGAGAGAATTCGACGCTGTGAGCTCACGCGCACCAAGAACCCCGACAACCTTGCCACTCATCGTGTTTAAAGTCGATTTCGCGTAGATCGTGCGCGTGAAGAAGTGAAAGATCTGCAAAGATATGATCAATATTATGTAATCGCAACTTTGTAAGTAAGTACGCTGAAATTTATTGATCCTTCTCAAGTTCGACAGATGGGCCCGCCAGCACCAAAACCTGCTGCTCGCAGGAGGAACAGGAAACGTAAAAGACGCGCCGTATCTTCCGGTTCTTCCTCTTCGTCTGATGATTCATCTTCGGATGAATCCACGCAATCCACACCGCAAAAGCCGGCACCTCTCCCAACCAAACAACCTGAATCCGACACGAGTTCGTCGTCTGAATCTACATCCTCAGATAGCGACTCCGAATCAGATGACGATGACGCTCGTACATCCATGGTAAAAGAACAAATGCAGACCGACGGTCTGAAAGTTCCTAAACAAAAAGACGTCCCTCGACAAAGGTCACCTTCACCCTCCCTGCCCAATGCTGAAATACCATCTTTTCTACCGCAAAATCCGTCTGCGGATTACGAGGCGCGTGAAAAAGCCATGAAAGATAAATTCAGGAAGTTCTGGATGTCATCCCTTGCAGAAGGATTCAAGGAAGACCTTGAGGAAATACGGAAGGTTAGCAGATGATTATTTCAGACATGAGTCGATCCTCATGAATGACTTTGCAGGAGCCAAATTTGGGACCCTCCAAGCTAGCACTGCTTATTGATTCGCTCGCAGCTGGCGCAGATATTTTTACGTCATCTGCGTCCGCCAGCGGGATAGACATGAATGAAGTAGATGTCGTCATGGGTGAATGATACAGAGTTCGTGGTTTATATAATCCTCTTTTCTGCATGTAACCATGAACTGCAGAGTCTCTTAGTGGTGTAAGACCACTGACGCGTGCTTGGATCATCGGGGCTCTATCGCGAGCAAACATATTGAATGATCTTGACACGTTCCGCATGTTAGAGCCTCCCAGTAAATTTGGGAGTCCGGGACACCGTCAATATTGCAAGGATCCCGTCTGCATCTCGAACAGAGACATCAAATGCAGTCCGTTATACATAGACGATGAGGAGCTTTTGCAGTTAGTAATATCTTAGGGAGGCACTCCGACTTTGTTACGATCTATAGGTTGATGCACGTACGATGTGCAATACTCCTTGATAAAGACGAGTCCGAAATATCAGTCTAGAAGTTTTTTTTTGGTTGCCATGTTCCCGTCATTCGACCTGCTAGAAGACTCAAGATGGAAGAGTCAATACATGCAGCTGCAATGAAATCATAAATATTAAATCGCAAATATATACACCAACAGCTAACAAATTGCATCAATAATTAACGAGCGCTAATGACGTATTGAAGGTATTCATCTAATGTCTATCCAAGTGTATCAGCACGAAACATTTTGTTCGATCAGCAACAAATCTCCTACCTTATCCATCTCATCAAGTTGTTGGAAAGCACCCGCGTATATCTCTTGAATATCTGGGTGTAGAGTCGTCATATCTATTGGTTTTCCAAACAGTGACTCGTCCACTGGGTGTACAGAGGTTTGAGGCACCCTGGGTACTGCACTAGCAATTTCAATGATCGCCATCATATGCGAGAGACCGAAGTCATCTTTGGGAATGTACAGTCGCTTGGGAATTTGCGGTTTGGGGGTGGTGTTGATACGCGGCGTTTCAGGGGGGCTGATGAGCTGTCCAGTGGGGGTGGCATACATCGATACTTCTGACATGACAGAAGCGATCGATGATTGACGAATAGGGCGAGGAGCATTTGTTCCTTGTTTCGATGACGGGGTAGTAGATCGGGTGCGGCTGTGTCGGCCATCTGCTGCAGTAGGCGTCGGTGTCCGAGATATGTCAGACACTGGTGATGCAACGCGTCGAGCTCCAGTGACACTACTCGCAAGCGGTGTGGGAGTCCTGCCGTCAGAACCAGAAGGGGGAGTTACGGCGTCATCGACGGAATATTCTGAGGGTGCAGAGCCAGAGCCACCAGAGCCACCGGAGGGAAGACCGTCAGACTGACTCGAAGCCGCAACGACATATTGAGCGTGAAGTCGACCATCTTTGATTTTGTTCAGTACGCGATCAATCTTCTCGTTCATGCCTTCCTTATTGCGCCCGAGGACGCCTTCTAGCAAGTCGTTCTTTTGTGCCGAGTTGCCTTCGCAAAACTCTTGCTCGACAATGTCACTGATATCAAACGACTCGCCGTCTTGCACGTATGAATAGCGCATCTTGTCTCCAGCGTCATACCTGGAGCTGCGGATCATGGCGTTTCCGGGTAGAAGAACATCTACGCCGCGCAGGGAGTTCATCTGGGCCGAAAGAATGGCCTTCTGATTCGCTCGCGATGCGGCGCGCTGTGCTGCAATGATCTCTTGTCTTGACAGCTGCCTCGGTTTAACTTCCTCGGTACCCGAAGTCTGATTATCAGAGCTGAGACTAGAGCCAGAAACTGAATCACGGAAATGTTGAAGGGCGATTTCATCAAGGGGCGCGGACATGCGATGACGAGACGATGACGTTCGATAGGAGATTGCTCGGCGGAGAATGAAGACAGGATCATCGATATGATATCATCTATGTTTCCAAGCAGTTGAGCAGAATCGATAGATCTGCGCTTGCCTTCCTGAGCTCGGCGGAAACTGGGAGGGCGAGTATATGCATCGGTAACTTTACTTGAAGGCGATAATTCTCGTTCTGAACCAACGAAGTCAGCGCTCAAATTCATTTATGCTAAGTGTATGTGTATTCTTACCTTGCCCTCCAATGTCAGCTGTGAGACCATATCGGACTTTGCTGGTACTCCGCCTCTTCGTCATCTTATCTTCAACTTCGTCACCACCGTCAACGACACTTCCAAGATGCCGAAACGCTCAAGTCCCAGTTCAATTACTTCAGCAACAGTGACATTCTTCGGGAAGGTGAAGGCTTTTCGGCGCTGACCCTGTGATATACCAGAAGAAATTGATGATGTAGAATGGGTTCTATCACGTAGCGTGTTCTTGAATACGATGGCTTCTGTGACTGGGTCGAAGACCATATCATCAGGCAGGTCCTCGGGATGGATAACAAGCTGCAACGTGAAGCGGTACGAGGGAGAGCTGAAACGATCAGGAGTCACGTTGACACTGCTCACCGAGGTATTTTGACCCTCGGCTACATCGTGAGACGTATCAGCCTGCACTGTCTCATCACCTTCTTCTGTCGTGGCGCTGTCATCTGCATCATCACGACGTCTGTTGAGGTAGAATTTGACAACGGAGTCGTCACTGAAGTCGTTCATGGATAACTTCTTTATGGCGGGATGCATGGAGAGGTTGCTTGAGATGGAGCTGATACTGCCCACACTGCTCCGCTTGACTTTTGGTAATTCCATGGCGGCCTCTACAAGCGACTCGAAGACTCCGAGAGGTTTTTCTTCCGGAAGCAGATCTGCAGATGAACCCTCGACCTGTTTGATGGTGAGGTAGTAGTCTGCTCCGTCCTCGCCAGCGGGGAGACGGAAGCGTTGAATAGCTTGACGAATGAGGTCGGCTGAAGTAGTAGATGCGTTGAGAAGAACAGTCTTGAAAGTCGCCTCGGTCTGCAAGTGTTGGCCTGCAAACACACGGATGACGCTAAGCTCAGGCACCAACACCTTGTCCGTCAGCAGTGGGCGAAAGAACTAGGGAGCCGGGTCGTGGTCTAGAGGAGGGCAAGCCCAGCCCAAGCCCAGCGGCAGAGGTGGCAGAGGTATTATACGAACTCGAGCTTGATAACACAGCGGAAGCAGATTGTAATCCGTATGAAGGCGCTTCCGGTGGCGATGACGGCGAACGATTGAGATATTGCTGATACAGTGCCTGTTGTTGCTGATCCCGCTGGCGCAGCTGTGACGCATGCTGCGACACCTGAGCCTGTACTTGTTGTGGCGGTGTCTGAGGCGTCTGCTGCGACTGAAGTCTCGTTGGCGTCCTCGAATCGTTTGGCGTGCGAAGAACTTGCTGTTGTTGTTGCATGGCTGATGCGGTGACAGGGGACATCGGAGGTTCAGATGCGGGTCCGTGAAGGTTGCTGGAGGACCGCCCTGATTCTTGAGACCCGCGGGTTTCATTGGAAGCCGTTTCGATAGAATTTTTATCCTTGCCTTTATCTTTCTTGCGGCCAAAGAGTCCGAATACGCCTCCTTTCTTTTTCTCCTTTTTCTCCTTTGCTTCATCATCTGTCGTGTCGCGTTGCTCTTTGCGAAGCTTACCAGACGCCTGCACAGGCTTCTGGACTGGGGTATTCGAGATGGGCTGTAGAGACTTGTTCTTGAGCTTCTTTTTCGAAGCTTCCTCGAGAACTTCAATTTCCTCGCGGGTGCGTTGCCGCTCGACCTCTTGCTTCTGCATGATTGCGCTCGGAAGAAGGGGCCGCTCGGTGCTGAAGCTTGTTTGACTGGCTCATCACGAGCAATTGAAGGCGTCACGGAGAGTTTTTTTGTTTCGGTTACTTCGGCGAGATCAATGCTCTTACTAGATGAGGGCGGTGAAGATGAACGGACATCAACAGTGATACGATCGCGTGAAGATTGATGGCGCAAAGCTTGTTGAGCAAGTGCCTGTTCCTCCTGCTGCCTCTGTTCGGTGATTATTATCTCTGGCTGCTGTTGTACCTGGATTTGCGCCTGTTGTCTCTCAGGTGTGCCGCTAGGTCGCAGAGTATCAGGCGCCACAAGCATCTGTTGCTCTATCTTCTTCTGCGCGTTTTGTGCTTGCATGTCCTCTGCAACGCTATCATCCCAGCTCATTCCATCATCCGGCTCCATCTGCATGCCCATAGAATCCTGCTGCTCATCGCGGCCCATCTGACCTTGGCGCTGTCGAATAAGCATGTCTTCTACAAGGTCTGGGTCTTCTTCCTCATATGCACCGTCATCCCACTCTATATCCTCCTCTTCTTCCTCTTCCTCATGCCAGACAGCAGGCGGATATCGGTGTACAGACCGTGCAGTTGTAAACGTGACACCTTTGCCTTGCCCAGCACCCGTGGGTGGAAAACCAGGGGTAGGAGAAGGGGAGTGATGCGAGCCAGCGCGAGAAGAAAGATTGTTCCGCACGCGTTCGACGTCTTCTTGGAGTTCTTGTGGTGTCGCGTGTGCAAGCTGAGAAGGAAAGTCATGAGTTTGAAATTGTTGGATGGTACAGGACTCACGTCCACATTCCTGTGCTTGTTCAACCTGGCCAAGCGTTCAAAGGGCGTCTCAATATTCTCTGCAGGAATATATCCAACGTCCTGTGTCTTGAGCACACGAACAAGCCACCAATAACTGTTACTGTCGTCCATAAGGAACAAGCTGTCGCCTTTCACAACGCTGGCTTGACCTTCGACGGTCGCAGCGAAGCTGTGCAGCGAGTAGACCAAGTCAAAGTCGATAGATTCATTTGGAATAGAAAGTGAAGACGAACGGTCGTCGTCTTCGTCCATATATTCTATCTCGCGCTCTTCACCATCAGAGTCATCTTCTAGAACAGAATGCTCTTCATCAGAAGCGCCTGCATAGGTATTGGTTGCATCTGCATGGGCATGCATATGTGCAGATGCTGTAGGGTCGTCGGCCATAATTTGGTCACGAAGGTCGAAAGTGTCCTGGCGCTTCGGTGAACGTCGCTGGTGGTCTTGTGTTTGCATATTGTACGTGATTGCCTAACGAAATATTGGCCTGAGAGGATGAAGATTCTATAAGAGTACAATCTAAGAAAGCTGTCAAAACATGAGAAACGAAAGGCGGTCGGTGTGCAGGTAAAAAGAAACAAGTTTTGCAGGCGACGAAGGAATGCCAATAATGATGGGTTCAGCGCGTGTTCAGCGTTGTCCTGGTGAACGTTGATGGCGTTGAACTACTTTAGTGGCTGTGCAAGTTTTCTATCTCAGAGTCAACTTCGTTGTTGTATGACTCTATCATCACTCGCAGCTAGTAGTAGTAGTAACTACTACTGGTGGGATCACTGCTGCGACAAACCGTGATGCACACAGGTACTAAGCCTACTGATACTCACCCTCGTGGCTGCGGAATTTACGAGACGAAGCTTATGCCGATTCCGGCTCACAGATGCGATGGGTCGTTAAATCACTGAAATACAAAAAGTGGCTGAAAGCACAGGATGTATCATGAGGCATGCGTTAGTTCCTATCAGATTGAAATGCTCATCATTTTCTTTCGACTCAGCTGTTCTGTGGAGTCCATCTAGCAACCAACAATGATGGTGAGTCTGTGTACAATCAAGTTATACCACGCACGTGCATGTAACAAATACTTGTTCATGCAGCTACAACGTCCTTATAATATACGAGGATCCTACCATACGTGAATGGCGTACAAAAACCTCGGAGCAGGTCGGTGATCCTTGGACGGGCCACACTAACCGAAGCAATGCTATTGCCATTCTTCCTGCTGGTACACTCGCCACATCCGCATCTAGTGACAACCATATTCATCTCTGGCGGCTATCAGATCGACAAACCGTTGCCATCTTTACGCACTCTATCCCATGCGATGCATCACTTTCTCCGTGGACGGCAATCACATCTTCAGCAGAGGTGAATATAATATCTCGGAGTGGACAGTACCTCAAGGTATACATCCAAAGGTATGTTTCTGTCTCTGACTCATACCACAAATCGAGTATGCTTCTTGCAGGCTATGGCCACCGCAACAGTCCGCGATGCATGCATAGATGGAGACTTGTCTACTGACGAAGAACTACACATGCAAGATACCAACAGCGATGCGAACAACCATACTCCCTACGTCCATCGCTCAAAGGCATGTTTCCGTCCTTGACTATATATACCACAATTCGAGCATGTTTTGTGCAGATCCTAGCCATCACACCCGCCCGTATTGCATGTGTAAACGGAGACTTATCCATCGCCGAAGACCTACTCACCCAAGATATCAACACCAATCCAAACGACCATACTTCCTACGCCCATCGTTCATTTGTTATGGCGCGAAAACATCACTGAGACCGCGCCCTTCTGGATGCTATCAAGGTGAGAATCATCGCCGCCTTATACAGGGCTAACTTGACGGTGACATAGTCCATCAGGATTCAACCCTCATCGACGGGCTATATCTCCAAGGGTATTGCCCTCCGTGGAAAAGGCCGCGTCCTGGATGCGAGGGCAGCATTTGATGTTGCATCTATGTACACAGACCAGGATTCAGAAATCCTTCATTTTCTGCTATTGATCAAGGTATGTTACATTTGCCTCGCATACTCTTCCCTTCATCGCATATTTCAGAACAGGGATCTACGAGCAGTTTGCGTATGCACCTTGAGTCGACGATCACATCATAGATCATACACACTCTGTAAATAACTCCTCACAAATACAAAATCTCCAAATTTGACATGCATACGGGGTTGAACGTTTGAACGTTGAGTACTGAGTGCCTGCGGACTTAGTTAAAACAAGCGACCTTCGGACGGACGTGAATTACAGTAATAAATGTTAACACTACGTTTGCCGTCGTCTTTTCCTCCTCATTCTCTATTGCAAATAGCGCTCGAATGTCTGGATCTCTCCAGTCTAAGGGAACTCAACCTCGATGAAGAGCAGTGATGCGGACTCGCGCGTTTGAAAGTGTCTCGGTGGTCGTTGGTATATCTCTCAAACCCCGCACATTCTCTCTTCGCTAGGACTATTATATATTTGTCTCCAATAGCATATGTGCGTATATCAAAATTCTATTTATTTTACAACGAGCTCGCAAAAGATTTAGTACTATCTTCGTTTAGGTACGTAAAACTAGTTCTATCAAAGATACTGAGAACTATCTTTGTTTAGCGTCCCTCCCGCTCTTCATATATCACGTCAGACTATGCCCCCGCGACTAGATGCAGAATCGTCGTGGGACGAACGAGAGGATAGACGTTGAAACCCGCTGAGGGCCATGCGAACGCAAAGTAGCGAACGCAAGTAGCGCAGCAAAGGACCAAACAGATCACACAAAACGCGCAGAGGGAACCGCATAATGCATAGACGCAAGACAAAACACATATCATAACACCCATTATATAGATGACAACCCAGTAGACACAAAACGCCAGTAGGATACCGTTAACGCGAGAGAGAACACAATGAAGGAAGATCAGTGATTGTTCATGAGAAAGAATGCAAAGGACTAACCTTTAAGTCGAAATCATGGTCAATGCGCACACGCTCTGCATGATAGATGCGGTCGAAACAGCGAGAAATCTCCGTCTCATCGAGGATGGAAATGTTCCAGGCTCCAGCCGGTTGCGAAATGGCCTGATGCCAAGCTCGGCGTTGCTCCTCTTGATACACGAGAAGGGCCCGCTGCTCGAATTGATTGTCCTGGAGCGTCACTCCGACGTCCAGTAGTGGTGCAGTATCAGGCCCCCGAAAAATTGTGCCAACATGCGAACGCGTGAAGCAACCCCCTCGCTGTTCAAGCGAGGCAATGAAACGAGGAACAGCCCTCGAGAAGTCGAGGGGAGGGGAGATGGTCTGCGATGACACCGGCTGCGGTGTCGTCGTCGAAGGTGTGAAAGGCTGAACGAGCATCTGAAAGACCTTTGTTAGTCCAGTAATAGCTCGACAAACTGGGCTTTGTCGAGCTTGCGCAAGGCATAGTCGGCGACAAGGATGGATTCGGCTGCACGAGTGGGACGAGGACGATCAGGAATAGGGATGTGGTGGATCCAGTTCTTCTTCCTCTCTTCTTCTGTAAAGAGAGCATCTTAGACTTTTTGGGCCGCGAGACGCTGGGCTTCATCTTCAGCGAGGAGACGCTGCTGTTCGGCGACATCTTGGGCGTCAGAGTCTAGCTGGCGCTGCCACTGTTTAGTGAGAGCCGTGTTGGTGGCTAGCCAGATAGTGCGAAGCATGGCAGCTGCTTGAGTGTCGTCGATGGCGGGACTCAGGAGAAGTGCACGACTGGCATTGAAACCGACAGAGGTAAAATCTGGACATTGCGCCAGGGTAGGGTCCGCAAGCAACCGAGTCATGACCGAAGTGAGAAATACGAAGTACGACGAGTGTTTTATTTAAGATTTAGCTTTGGTGAAGAGCTAAGGTTGCTGAGACGAGGCTTGTTGAAATTTCGAATGGGAGGCGCTAACGCCAAGATGGTGGTAGCGAGAAGGAAGATTCGAAATCAACAAGTAACTAAAAAGGAAAATCACCTCTAGGTATTGCACTGGGATGTACCCCCAGCCTTCGAGATCTGAGCCTTCCCAGCTGTCCACGTTCAAACCCACTCGTGATCTTAACGTTTACGAACTCTCCGCGGATGAAGCCAGTGCCACAGGCTTGCAAAACGAGACTTCGGTGCTTTCCATCGACCGGGAGGAGACACTCGCGCTTCTAGGGATATTTACTCTTACGATTTTGAAGGGGTCTGTGTCTATACTCGGTGTAACGTTGTCCGCCTCAAAGACAGCTCACCATGTGTTCGCCCCTCGTTCTGCTCCGATCCCCATCTTGGAGTGCGCCTCATCGAACCTACATACCGACTTGGATATATATTCTCTTCCTCCTCGCGTGAGACAGAATCACGGCGGAGCTCTAGTAGCAATTCGATCGCTCGATACGGGAGTGGAGGGTCTTGGACGTGTCTGTCGCGTCTTTGATGGAGTTTTCGAACCTTCGCGTTGGCAGCGGAGCTCGGCAGAGGTTATACGCCCTGGCGTGAACTTGGTACGTGTGCTGTATTTGAATGTATGTAAAGTATTATTTATCCTATCATACAGATGACGCACAGCGACAGGGACGTGCTACCGTTCGTATTGCCAGAATCGTGGAGTATTGCCCTGAGCGCGGCAGAGACGTCACCATCTCCCATACCACTCTCCGTTTATGTTGTCAAGGGTCCGAAAAAGTCCGGAAAGAGTACATTTGCTCGGACGCTCTTGAACAGGCTTCTAACAAGGTATGTTTGGAATTCAATACATATGAACACCGCTAACAGTACTTTATAGATTTCAGCGCGTAGCATATCTTGAATGCGACGTAGGGCAGTCCGAATTTACACCTGGGGGGTTGGTCGCCTTAAATATCATAGATAAACCGGTATTCGGTGAGTAATCACTTCATCAACCTATTAGCGCCCCTCAAATATCTTGGTATCTTAGGCCCGCCTTTTACACATCCCAGTCTTCCATACCGAGCGCACTACGTTGGAGCGACTTCACCACGGTGCAGTCCGGCACACTATCTTGCGGCCGTTCAAGCGCTCCTCGAAACGTACAAGTTCGAGATTCAAACTTCGATGCCTGATGACGAGTCGATTGACACGCGGGTCACCGACGTTATTCCCCTGGTGGTCAATACAATGGGGTGGACGAAGGGTCTTGGGGCTGACCTAAATGCCAAGATCGAGGAACTCACCGAAGCTACTCATGTATTCGAGGTCGTCGGTCCGGAGGAGAAAGGTTGGCCAGCCTATGACATTCTCCAGTCCGCGCCGACCAAGGCGCTCCAGCATACTCTCGAATCAATATCACCAAATTTAGCAAATGCGCATTTTAATGCCGTCGACCAGCGCAACTTGAACATCTTGTCTTATTTCTATGCTATCTTTCCATCTATTACATCGATGTCGTTTCCATATCCATCCGCTCCTCTTCGTCAAATGACAGCAACCAAATGGGAGACCTCTCATCCTCTCTGTGCCCGGTATCCGTACGAGGTGGACTGGAGTCGGGCATTTGACCAAGTCATCCTTATTGGTGCAGGATACGAGGACGTGATACCCTCGGAGATCTCCAACGTCTTAAACGGCGCAATCATTAGTCTTGTCGAATGCGAACCTGGAACCGAAGATCCAGTGTATCTAGACCCGTCTGGCGCCCGGGAATTGCCATACGTCCAAGCCAGACATCCACCAGTACCCTCGACCTCCACTTGCCATGGCCTCGCTCTCATTCGTGCCATCTCACCTAGCTCATCGCACATGCATATACTCACCCCGGTTTCGCCCACTATCCTTGCACGCTGTCGGGTGATCGTCAAGGGTGAGCTAGAGCTGCCTATCTGGGGAATGCTGGATTTTACGGACGCAAATGAAGGGGTCGCAGGTGTAGAGAAGGGCCGCGTGCCATATTTGCAGTGGGGTAAGAGTGAAGGCTTGGGCGGCGAGCGTAGGAGGGTGAGGAGAAATCTCATGCGAAAAGCCCAGATGTGAGGTAAACAAACAAAAGTATATTATCAGGTACAGCCAGCATTACAACAACTGTTTTACATCACTCAAACACGATGACTACGTCCGGACCTTTGGTATCCAACCATCGCTTCCAAAGTTCGCTATATTTTGGCGACCAAGGCCGGCGTAACACTTGCTCGTCTGACAGAAAGCGCGCAATCCGCTGCATTTCTTTCAGGTCTCTGTGAGAGTAATACTTCATGCGCACAACTGCTTGGGCAAGCGTCGGGTGATACTTTGATCCCAAACACCAAGCAGGCATCACTTCTTCTGAGCAGCAATGTCAGACGGAGGACTCACCGATCCCCGGAACACCATCCTATGCCACTTGCAAAACGTTTTGGCTGGTATAGAAAATCCACTGCTTCCTTCGTCGGGGTGCTGTACGTCGCGGTATTGAGGTAGAAGACGTGGTGTATAGTACGTCACGAGAGGTATCTCAGACGTCTCTTGCGGCGGCCGGCGAGCACTAGACTGTGCAAGGTGGCGTCGGTAACGAGCAGCAATGCACCAGTATTTCGCTTCCGCTTCTAGCGTGGGGAATGTTCCGCACCGCGAACGTGCAGGGAATGGAAATAGTAAGAGGCGGACACGAAGACAAGTAGAGGAGAGTGCGTGATAGAGTCTGTCCATGAGGGTCCTGTTGAAACCTCGGAGTAGGCGCCTCCCAAGGTGAGTCGCGCAGAGAGATCGCACCACCCATGTGGAATCGACGAGTGGGAGGCTCGTTAATAGCAAGAAAGTAACGATGACTGGTGGCTTGGAGTAGATGATGCTCTGGGCCTCGGTCAGGTCTGCATTTCGTGACAAGGAGATCTGGACGTGGAGCTCACCTGCAACTGCATTTTGCGAGTTTCCTCGACGACAATTGGGTTGTAGTTCAAATGATTATCGATTAGCCTTTAGACCCTATGGAGATTCGGAGTATGGGACTGCCTTGCAAGCGTTATACGTCAGTTTTGATGGTGATAACCGGCACTTACGAGACACCCGGATTCCCTAAGCCCATCCGCTTTGACCATCCAACCTCATGGCGGGCCGCGAGGCATGATGGCTTGGCGGTACTATTTGTAGGACGATCACCATGACATATCCATACAAAAGCAGGTCTGTTTCAACAATAAGAATGTGTCATTTTGTATCGTTTCCATATACAGGGCTTGGGGTCAGGATGTTCGTTTGACACTGGGCAGACTCTAGAGCAGTCTGTACAGCGCTTGTCGAGCTAGTAGTATTTGTTAGCACTAAAGGGCATCGAGGTGAACTTTAACGTTAGAGTGAACGTCCAAATTTACATAACGTTATCTGATCAAGGTCTTTCTGGGTTAGTACATACTTGATCGAGTCAATGGTCCATCGCACGTGTAGTGACGTTACCAAAACTTGAGGGGGTTTTATGCTAGTAAATCAGATGAAATACAAAACGTACATACATGCGTAGCGATGTAAATGAAGATGGTATAGTTAATCACCCAGCAGCCTGTGTCCGCTCTAACATCTTATTCACCGCAACATGCCTCCCAGAAGACGCATGCGCCATATCTGACAACCTGTTCTCCCTCATCCTCGTCAAGACCTGCAGCAAGAAGGTCGACGTAGCACCATGCGGCCTCTGTGCATCGTCCAGGTTCTCCACGGGCGTAGATACCCCGCTATGGCTCACTGCCGATTGTGTCTGCGCCGACGCATGTCCGTAGAATGTACCTCTTGCAGAATCAACATGATCGGAATCTTCGAGGTACCGCTCCCAGAGTGTGTATAGTGAAATGATTTCTTGTGCAATAGTGGCGACCAATGGCATTGAGATGTTAAGTTCAGCAAAGAAAGCAACAAAGTCCTGTGAGGGTTTCTTTGAGTGACTCGATGATGTACTAGAATTTTGTCGCGACGATCTTCTCGGGGAGCTGTGGACTGGTGTTGTTTCAACTGAATGAGACTGCTGTTGGAGGAGCTCTCTAGTTGGACCGTGTAAAACAACAGCGAGATAGAGTGCGGTAATGGCGAGTAGATGGGGAGGATAAAGCAGGCAGAGATCTGAGCGATATGTGTCGTTGACGATAGACCTACGATTAGAGTCAGTTATGAAACACTCCTCCTAAAATCCGCTCACCAAGCTAGCTGGAACGCATCATCTGGCAACTCGAGTTGTCCATCACCACTTCCCCAATACCGTGGCCCATCGTCCACTCCCACTCCCACTTCACCAGCCTCTGTCTGCAAGTCGTTTGAGCTCTCCTTCTTGCAAATGGACAACAACGTGCGATATGGATGAAAAACAGTGAGATCACATTCGAGGTCCGCAACGAGGTAGAACTCCATCTCGGCGAGTTTGGAATTGTCTGAAGGAAAGTATTTCACGCCGTACGGCTGTTCTGTGCAACTTGACATCAGTATTCAAACAGATACACTTGGTGGTGAAACACCACGGCTGAGAAAAGGCGAGCCTCTGCTACCATATTCTTGATGTGCACGGGCGACTCCTCCGCCTTTCCAGCCACGTAACAGCATGCTGCGATGACGATGAATGGGTCGGTTTCGCAATACGAGTTTTTGATATAAAATCTTCGAAAAAATACGATGGCTGTCGCGATGACGCGTTGCCTGAAGTTGAGCTTTTTTCCTAGTTTTGTTATAACTAGAAAAGTTTGAACGTCACTCCGCATTCGCATGTGTATTAATTACACTCACCATTCGCAAAGAAAATTGCAAAGAAATCGAGGTACTCCGGATCATCCACATATTGTAGGTCATCTGAACGAGACTCCTTCAAGGTAGCGCGGTCCACTATCCATCGTTTGCTATGATACCCACCATAAGCTTCTTATGCCTCGTGACTTTGATCCTCCTCACTAGTGCGAACTGGCCCAGAAATCAGTGGCCATATGGAATCGACAGAGTACGTTTAAATCAGGATTGAACAAGGAATGCAGGAAAGTTGTGCTAGAGTATTGTTACGGAGAATAATGAGGTTGCACAACTTGAAAGTTGGAACGGTCACCGGCCCATCAGGAAATTGGCCGAAACTGTTGTGACCAGATACATGTGACAAACAAAACACATTATTCCTAACAACGGGTTCGCTGTGCGAACTTGTGACCTTGCGCATGCTCCGTCTTAAATTTTATCAAGCTCACGCCAAGTTATACAATCAGTGTACATGGATTATAATATCTCATTCGTTGTCATTGATTAGCATCTGCTATTTCATTGTCTTTCACGAAGAATAACGTCGCGTGAAATTTACGAGCTAGGTACGATATCAAAATTAAAATTGCACGCTCAGTCTGAAATCGATTGGAAGGGAATGTGTACTGTCCCTCGTAGGAATCGCTTATTTTGAATTTGCCTTGATATGGCCTGTGATGTCCACTCAGCACTGCGGCAGCGCTGATGGTGCTGGTAACGCACGTGCAATTACGCTGCGTGAGCAAGTGAAGATTTTGCAGCATCATGGTATCCAAGATCCTGGTAACATTTCGCATGCTGACGATTAGCGCACGGGTTTTTGGGTCACTTGTTATTGTATTTGTATCATGATCGCGCGTTTTCGTTGCGAGCATCGAGCATCATGCACAGTGTGGATGCTGTGCTTCCATCAGTAAACCGGTGAGTTCTTGCTGGCGATGAATGCAGGATGAGTTAGAACAGGAGTATGTAGTTGGGAGGACAATGATCGCCAGACGTCAAGCGCACATGGCACTAGACCAATTTAGACGACAGGTGGAGCTCGAGCTCAGCGCTCAGCACGAGCACAGGTGGAGCACAGACAGGAGAGTCACGCGAATTGGTTCCGCGGGATCAAACGTTTCGTACTTAATATTGTAGATAGATAGATATGACGATATCTTCTTCTCACAGGTTCTCTGATGGCCCTCCCTCCTTCAGCACACATCTTACTCTTAGTATGTAAGTGTTAGTGGATCTCGTTGATTGATGTGCGTCGTTTAGGGATGCCCATCAATATCACTCTGAGATCATGATATCCTGCATTATTTAGCCTATGTGACCTTGTAGTACGTAGAGTGACAGTATAGAAAAAAACAAAAGCAACAAATCCATTAATGCGTCCTCGGGCTCATTTCATTTTGATGGGCCGCTTTACGTCATGGCAGGTCGGGCATCACTCTCACTTGAAACATCGATGGGCCATGCCTTCACATATAAAGAAAATCCAAGGAATGACTTACTTCCCAAAGTCAGAGGGCCACTTCCAGGGAGACCAGCCAGTTGACTAGCACCTGTTTAACATCCACTGCACTTGCTACGTCGTTGATACTTGTATGTCGAGGACTTGTGTGTCGTGTCGATCGAATGCTTGCTGTTGCGTACGCGTGCCAACAACAACAATCCCCCCTTCGGCGGACTGGAAGGCCCATTCGAAAAATGTCTCAAAAACGCGCGCAATGGATTGTTTGCGCCACGCGCATGTTACATCATGCATGGCATGCTGGTCATGATCCACATCATCCTTCTTTTCTTCTATGTCCGTCACTGGGAACACCATGCAACTTCGCTTTCACACCAACAAACAATGATTTCTGGCCTGTGGTGCTTAGTGCTTCACTGCAAGCATTTTATACTGTACGTATCCACAATGTCCACTGATATCCTAATGATACACCAATGACATGACATGGTCCAGATATACACGGCTGTTCTGCTCTTCCTTACCCAACGGCTTGCGATTTCGAGAACACTCGTACGCCGTGTGAAACTGACGGCCGTTCATGACATCTCTGGCGCATGGGCGGGTCTCGGTTCTGCACTCACTGGTGTCTGGCGACAAACTGACATCCCCGCTTCATGGTAGATGACTTCTGCTGTGGCAGCCTACCTTGCGAGCATAAGCATGCTGCATGTCACCTCTTCTACTCTCCTACAATTTCAAACCTTCAATGCTTCTATGACAACTTTGGTGCCTACAACACTAGGATGGCTAAACGATTCGTCGCATGGTTATTTAACAGACCTGGGACCCATTACCACATCCCTACCAGTTGTCAAGCATTTGACTGGACTCGTGTCCGCAGGGTTGTCCAACACCACACTCTACGACACCCTCAAAAGAACCGCTATAGCAGGGAATGCGACTGTGAACGCAACGACAGTAGCCTCGAGTTGTGGATTGGTTCCAAATGTGACATACTCTGCGGATGCCAACACAGCGATCGTTCCGTCTGGGCCAGTTGCCACTCGCGTAGTTATTGCGAGTGCTCTCTGTCGGTGGTTGTGATTGCAGTGATGTTTTATCACGCTGACAGTATTTACAGGGCCAGATCAGATACATATAATTCCATGGATAGAATTTGAAGATTCTTCCAGTGACGCCTCAGAGGCAAGTGTTCTCTTAGTTCGCGCCCACTATAGAAGTTGGATAACAATTTGACTCTAGCTTGCTGGTGTCTATCTTATGGTATCCACATTATTGGGGATCGACCCTTCAGTACAAGATGAGGTTGCTATAAACATGACTTGGAGTACGTTTGCTTATTTGTAATACAGTCATAATAACAATACGTTCTGCAGATATCCCTGATCGACACTCCATACGTCACCCAGGTCTATTTCGTATATTGCTCGCTGTCAGCGAACACTACACATGGGGTGATCGACATGCAAACCAACAGCCTACTGAGTCCTACGTCCTTATCGCAGCCATCCACGCAATGGGAAATGTATCAATTCGGGTGGTCGAATACTACCAGTTGGCAAACACAGGTGCGTTATACGGCGCTCACTTTGAGCTCAATGACATACTGTCAATTTTAGATCGGCAGCTTTGGCTACCCCGGATAGCACCAGCGGGATTCTATTTGATCCATATGCACAAATCACCGAACTCTCTGTTGCGGACGAGTAGGCCAAAAACATGACTGCACTGTTAAAATGTCTCACGTACGGCTTGACTTCTAGGTATATCATGTCGTTGGTAGGCTTGAATCTCACTGAGGAATATACACAATTCCGCGACGGTGCTTATCCAATCTCTAATTTCACTTTGAGCCCGGATGAACTAGAATTCGCGGTTGCGAGAGCAGCTGCACAACTCATCTGGCTAGGTAAGGGATACGTTCGACGTTTTTTAAACTCTCGCTCATTCTGTCCACATGCTTAGCGGGACAAATGGGTACAGCCAATGGAGGAATTGACCCTGGCAATGGGACAGCCTATGTTAACGAGGAGTTCATTGCCCTACGCCTCAACGTAAGTGAACTGCGCAGATGTTGCTTTTAAATGACTAATGGAGCATTGTAGATCAACCTTCTTCCTGTGAGTTCGTGGTAACATCTATGCGATGACTATTCATCGAAATGGTTCTAGTTGGCTTTCGCGGCGTCTGCATCGGTGATAATGTTGGGACTGGCGCTACATATGACAAGAGCATTTCATGCATCACACGACAGTCAGGCTGCTATCTCAAACATAGGTGTGCTGCAACTCCTGTGGTTGGGCCATCGTTCAGCCTCTATCAACGAAGTCCTGGAAGATGTGCAACATCCGACAGAGGCCAATCTGCGGCGAGCGGGCATGATAGATGTCTGCCTTACGAAAACAATATCTGATAAGGAAGAGTTTGGGAGTTCAACAGATAGTCTCTCCTTGTGCAGTCAACTACCATCATGACGATGATATATGATTTGGGTTCGATAATAGGAGGCTGGTGAGCTCCTGCTTATTGTGATATTCAAGGAGTTTCTACGCGACGCGCGTGCCTGTCTGTTCGAGGGGGTACCATCATCCCGTAATAGATCTATACGCATACACACAGCTACTAGCTACAATATCTCGAGTGTCTTGACGTCCACCATGTCCTGAGCAAAGGCCATGTCGTTGACTTGTGCAATGATAGCATTATCTGATGCGATTCTCTTGTATTCTCCCCCACGCTGCTGCGCTAGCAAAAATGCACTAAAAGGCTGTCCAAGGCGAACGATCAATCGCAACGCTCGCTCGCCCGATTCCAAATCAACCGGCTCCTCTGCTTCAAGGGACCCGCCAGGTGAATCCTGCAATGGAGACCCAGGCGCAGACCAATAGAATTCCTCGCTCTGCGTGTCGTCTGCAATGTCAGGCAGCCTAGCTGCCAAGCCTAACAGCTCCGCAAAATCAGGCAGCTCGAGGAGATCACGATCCCATGGGCGGACGAGCAAGAACGTCTGCCGTGTGGAAAATGTCCAGGAGGACGGAATCAGTTTGTCCTCCATGGTGATTAACAGGTCGCGAAGACCGTCTGCCTTGACTTCATACGCGGAATGTGAATCTTGGTCTCGAGTATGACTCCGTTTCACTGCCGTGACACGAAATGCTATGCAAGGCAGATGCAGTCTGCAGTTCGCAAACGAGGAGCGTTCTTCTGATCGAGAAGGGTATAAAGCTTTGAAGCTGATTCGATAGCCACGGTGTTTCGCAGTAAAGAAACCGAACTCTGAATCTCATCTTCAGACAGAGATGGCAGGGTGTACGGTGGTGCTTTGTATGAAGTAATGTCGGCCGGCAGACAGCTATTGAATTCGGATGATTGCCCCACCCAGTCCAGGGCACTGATGTCGCCCGACTGAGCTATGACCTCCTGCAAGAGCCTCCCAAGCGCCTTTTGCTTCTTCTCGCCATAAATGACAGGTAGGTTGACGCCGAAGATACCAAACAATGAGTATGCAATATCTTCCGGCCATGTGGTAACACGCGCTGACACCCATTGGAGTTTCTCCCGGGCGTTTCTCATCCCCGGACGGAAGGCAACAAGGGTTCGTGCATCTATTCCCGTCGCATCTCCCATCTCCTGCATGATTGTAAGAGAATCTTTGTGGTTGGGAGAGCGATCGTCGAGATACAACGACCAATCCTTCTGGTAAAAGAGTACAAACATTGAAGCCAGAAATTCTTGAACTGTCCATCCTCGCGTGTTCCAAGCGCTACTTGTGAGTGCGCCAGACTGCGACAAGGTGGAACGTCCGACAGGTAGACGATGGTGAGTGCTGAGTGGCGATACCAGACAAACATGGAGTTGACCGATTGTTGGACCTCGACATTGTTAGTCTGGTCGATGCAACAGGTATCAATCCATGCCCAACAATACCCTTTATCACGAGCAGTTCTACAGAATGACTGCAACTTTGCGATGCCACCGATTGGATCCAAGTCGTACACCACCTTGTTCTGGATGTTATGCAGTGATGGCTCCGTCACTTCCCACCTATGCGATAGCATGATAACGGAAGTACATCGACACCACGTCTTGGATGCGCTCCATTTGAAAGTCCGGATGTTTCGTTGTGGATGACAAAAGTTCTTTGTGCACTGTGCTTGTTCTGAAGGCATTGATCTGTGCCTCGCGGTTGCATAAGCGCCCAGTGGAGGTGTTGATTAGACGGTGCGGGGCGTTGTCGAGCTGGGCCTTAATGCTGTCTTCAATAGCATGTTCTGCTTCGGATGGACTAATATACTGTTGGCGCAAGTCTGGACAGAGAGTCAACAATGTTTGAAAGATGTGTTATTTGAGGCGTACTTCTTGTTTCTGTATCGGGAGCACTTTCCAACTTGGAGAGCATGGTTGAGAGCGCCTCGATGGCTTCATCATATCTATGTGCGCCATGAAGCACCGCATGCTTCAACTGATATCCAAAGTAAGATGAAGGGTCGAGTTCAATGACCTGCGTATCACCAAAATTAGCGTTGAGTACGAAACAGTAATTGTCATCCCACCTTTTCCGCATCGAGGAGTGCATCGTTCCATAGCATTTTTCCCGACCTCGCTTTACTGCGGTTTGCAAAGGTGGTATGGGTTGCAAAGTCGAGATCGATCGCTGCGGAGTAAAGCTCGATAGCCTTGTCGTAATTACCCGCAGCGAGGGCTTCATCTCCGCCCACAGCGAGGTCAGTCACTCCAGCAGCAGCATAGAGCACGCTGCAATCTTGCTGAAACCTGAGTGAGATAAGGATGAGAGTTATACGAGGTTTACATCAAGAAGACTCGCCAGTGGACCAATCAAGGCAGCGTGATTTCGTAGCCTCGTCAACCCTGTCCATCATGTATCGGTATGCTTTGATGGCTTCTGGAAGTCTACCTGCTCGAGGAGCGCATCGCACCAATTCTGATGTGCATTTCGCCACAAAGACCGCATATCCCACCCAAATAACTAGAAAAAGCAGTGAGACGAAAAAAAAATTCCGGTTACATTTCAATCAACCTACCACCACGAAGACATCGTATAGAGTGGATGGCCGACACAGACGAGAAATCAATAGTGTTGACAGCAGCAGTGAAGTGGCCACCGCTTCGTTGTGACGTGCGTCGTGTGATGCATTCTTTCCCAGTTGGACGTGTAGATAAGCCTGGAGTGCGAGGTTCGCAAAATCAGCATCGATGCATGAATCTGGAGTTGACTGTGTCAGGAGCACTCACTTCCACGACACCACACGCATGAGAATTTGGATGGGCGAGTGGTAGCTAGCTCTTGGACGCGCAGAATCGCCTCGTCATGTTGATTTGCATTGAAAAGGGCGATGGCCTAATGGTTGTTGTGTGAGTAGCGAGTACATAAGACACAATTGACGCCTTAATCAAGAGTAGAAGACGAGTTTTATTCAAGTCTGCGTCCACGTGCATGAACGCGATGTCAAATGCTTTCATCGCGTCGGAACTGTTTTTTCCACAGGGCGATGCCCTTGGATATGCAGCCCATCAAGGATGGCTTGATACTGATGCTCTGTATCACCATATATATTAGTCTGTTTGAAAAGGTCAGGACGAAATGGTGCATCTCACTTTGAGCGCGTCATCAAGTGCGTGGTCCCAGTCTGAATTTCTTGCCTTGACAAACGAACGATTCGCATGAGACTTGTAGTCATTGTCATCGGCGGCGATATCTTGTGTTAACATTTTGTCAGCAGTGAGCAAGTCTCCGGCTATGCATGCATCGCGGGCTATCGTGCTGATAGTGAGGACCTGCATTATGCATGGTCAAATTAAGTGGTAGGCGTAAAAGCTAGAAATATACCTCGCATTCAGGCTGTTGAGCATTGGCATCGAGATTGAGGATCAATAACAAGGAGACGAGCAAAGAACAAGAACTCACATTATTTGCCGCATGTTCCTTCAAAGTGTTCCTGCAATGCATCCTTGGAGAAAATGAGATGAAGAAGGGATGGAAAATGAACAGAATCTTACATCTGTTGCCTGGTCCTCGAGAACGTCCTCTAGCGAAGGTACTGCCCACTTCGAGATCATCAAATCTGTTCCTCCACTCAGGATGTACTTGCCATCCATGGAGAAGGCGACGCAACACACCGCTTCGGTGTGTTTGAATATGGCAATGATTTGTTGATCCGAAAGCCGCCAAAGGTAAACCTGGCGGTCATCAGACGCGGTCGCGAAATGGGTGCCGGCAGGGTTGAGGGCAATCATGAAAATAGCCTCAGCATGGCCCTTGCAGGGCTCACCGATCTGCTTCCAGGTCGATGAATCCCAGATCCTTATGGTGGTATCACAACGACTACCAGCCGAAAGAAGCTGTTTGCCATCAGGTGTCCACACTAATGACTGATTCCATGCTCCATACGCAGAGTGACCCTGGAACTTTGCGATGCAATTCCTCTTGCCTGGATTCCATATTTGGATATTTGACGAGGTTGCGATGGCAAGATATTCACCAGATGGTGAATACCGAACACAGAGGACTTTAGCGCACAACTGATTGGATTTCTTTGCACCTGCCATGTTTTGGTGTTCCAGAGCTCCACCGTGGTGTCATATGAGCCACTCGCTAGCAATGTGCTGTCTGGGGAAAAGTCGAGCGACGGTATCCTTTGGGAGTGGACTTTGATGGGCTGGGTGAGAGATTCCCCGTCTGTGTTCCAGGCTATGACCTCTCCACCATGATCACCGCTTGCTATCCATTTCCCATCTCTTGATAGTGCAAATCCTTCCACTAGGTTGGAATGCCCCTCCATTATCTTCAATTCAACACCATCTTCCAAGTTCCACAAACGAAGCGTCTTGTCGGCCGAAGATGTCACCATATGGCGTCTATCGGGAAAGACTGCGACTCCAAAGAGAGTATCTCTATGACCTCGAAATGTTCGATTGGGGGTGGTGATTCGAATGACGGGATGTTCTGCTTTCCTCATTCTGCTCGAGGTGGATGGTGTTGAGCACAACTTGTTAGAGAGACTGCGGGCGTTCTGAATCTTAATATAAGTTTCAGAGGTACACGGTGTACGGCGGCCGGGTGCTTCGTGTATCATTAGACGCCCAGGACACGTGGCCTGAAACCTATGGTGTCTGGAATCTCCCCTACTTATCAGTGCACACCGGATCAGGTCACAGATATGTTTAGACTCTACTGGTGTAACAACAAAGTGGACCCAAGACGCACAAGAGCGAAATTGCAAATTGAGAAACTGTAAAGTCGCTTACTAGTAAATGACAGTAGTGTCGACACCGAGTGCCAATAAGTAGTACCAGAGCGACGGCAAAAGCTGATGCGTATCGGGACCACATCCATCTGTTCGACAACCTACGCGAATGATCGTCGCACTAGCGAGGTACGTCGTTCCTCAGACTGCCACTAAACCATCAATCATAAACCTAGTATTCATTTATTTTAAGTATGTAGAAACAAGTTGCATCCGTAAACATACCTTTTTCACGTACAATTCTGACAGGCGGGTGTACCGACCGATATACTATCAGAGACGAGAACTTGCAAACGCTAGTGTACATAAATAGCTCAACGTATTTGTGCCTGTTTACCAGTACCTTCAACTTCTAGCAAGGACAAACAACTCGTCACATTTACAAATTACCACAGCCAGTCGTTCAGAACATGGATGATCCTCTAGATGCCGCATTTGTGACAGGGCTTTGCTATCTTCTGGCCCCAGTAGGCTGGCAGCCAGTCATAACAACCGTGCTCATACTTCTGTTCACTAGCCGTAACACTGTGCAGCCTTTCCTGGCAGTTTTTCCCAGATATGTAGCGCTAGCACTTGAGGAAGCCATCGAGAACTCGATTTTGGAGTATACTGCATGGCTGCTCAGCTGCTCAGTTGTCATGTACTCAATTGACTCATATTGGGAGAAACTCCCCATGGTCGTCCCCATCCTCATCTTTTCTGTGTGCCTCATCTCGCAATGGGCGAGTTGCTGCTGGCATCAGTCACACAGCAAGACGAACGTGCCGGTGCGAGATGTATTCGTCACAGTCGGTGACCGTCATCCAGATTTGCTGTCTTTGGACCACCCGTTATCTGAACTGGTCGTGAATACCAAAGCTGAGCTTGCAAAGGCTCATTCCCTCCTTTCCAATTTTGCTGCTGCTTCTGTGAATATACGCGGACCTCTTGATACCGCCTGGGCTGTCCAAAAATTCTCCCGCCTCATTGGCAATCGACGGTCACAGATCGTTCGGTTCATGTCTCCTTGGCGATTCAATCCAAATAGTCCAATCTTTCCCCCTCCTCTTGGTCCGCGCTATGCAATGCTTCGTAGTGAAGCGGACATCCCGGACATCCCGTGGCTATCGCCCGTTCCTAGTGCGATATGGATTGATAGACGATTGGCAAACATGTGGGAAGATGAAAGACGGACTGAACCCCCGGGATATAATGAGTATGCCCTCTCTTTTTTATCTCGGCTGTTCGATGTACTTAATGACGATTCTAAGCCAATGTGATCTCTTCTCAAGGCCGCTATTTGTCATGAGATGTTAAATTCAATCCTTTTGGACGTCGAGAAGATCGGACACCTTCCAGATGATGATTAAGCTTGTACTACTATCACGGAGGAATATGGATCGTTCCCGTTGTCTCATCTATATGATCAGTTGTAGATATTTGGCGCCCGGTAAGATACTGAACTCTGTGTACTTCTATATCTTTCCCTTGCTTTTCGGACATCATCTTCCGACGGCGGTTGTTCTACTGGGAGCTCTGCTACGATATCTTTCAGCACTAAGATCATGTCATCGTGCGTGACAGGATTTTCCGGGAAAGTGGCAGACTTGCCACCATTGGGTTTAATTTTTAAGGAGCCCGGAGGCGACAGCTTTGAGGCGAGATTTGCAAGACCTTTCACAATAGGCGGATGGTTGAAGTAATCTGAAAAGCACGCACTGCAGGTGGAAGTCCAGTCCTCCACCTGGAATCTCTCCTGAGATTTCTAGCTAATGGGAAGGCAGGCAATATGGCTGCAGCCAGCTGGGTACGCAGCTAGGTAGTACCGTGCGTTTTTAGCTATAAGGCCCGATAAAATTGATGCAAATGGAAAGCATGACCCAGAGGAATGATTTCAGATCGTGTCTTCGTCGCGGCGAACAACTCTTGTGCCACAATATTTCTGTTGCTAAGTTAGCGAGTACATGAGACACAATTGACGGACCTTGATCAAGAGTAGAAGACGAGTTTTGTTCAAGTCTGCGTCCACGTACATGAATGCGAGGTCAAACGCTTTCATCGCATCCCGGAGCTGTCGTTGTCCATAGTGGGCGATGCCGTGTGAAATACAACCGATCAAGGATGGCTGTATACTGATACTCTATATCACCATATGACTTAGCCTGTTTTAAAAGGTCACGATGAGAACACTATCTCACTTTTAATGCATCATCAAGTGCGCGGTCCCAATTGGCTTTTCTCGCCATGACAAACGAGCGATTCGCATAAGAGTTGTAATCATTGCCATCAGCGCCGATATTTTGTGTTAACAACCTGTCAGCAATAGACAAGTCGCCGGTTATGCACGCATTGCGGGTTGTCGTGTCTATGACGAGGATCTGCATCACGTATGGTCAAATTGCGTGGTAAGAGTGAAGGTTTAAAACAAGCCTCGCAAATGGACTGTTGAGCCTTGGCATCAAGATCAAGGATTAACATCATGATGCAAGACGACCCGACTGTAAATGAACGGGAACTCACACTATTTGCCGCATGTTCTTTCAAAGTGTCTTCCCGTAATGCATTCTTGTAAGAAATGAGATAAAGAAAGGACGGAAATGAACGGAATCTCACATCTATCGCCTTGTCCTTGAGAACGTCCTCCAATGAAGGCACTGCCCACTTTGAGATCATAAAATCTTTTCCGCCACTCAGGATATACTTGCTATCTGTGGAGGAGGCGACACAATACACCTCTTTGGTGTGTTTGAATATGGCGACAGTTTGTCGATCCGAAAGCCGCCAAAGGCGAACCTGGTGGTCGTCAGATCCGGACATGAGAAGGGTGCCAGTAGGATTGAAGGCAATCATGAATATATTCCCAGCATGGCCCTTGCAGGGCTCACCAACCTGGTTCCAGGTCGATGAATCCCATATCCTTATGGTAGGATCAGCATGAGTACCAGCCGAAATAAGCTGTTTGCCATCGGGTGTCCATGCTAATGAGTAATTATATGCCCCGTTGAACGCAGAGTGACCCTCGAACTTTGCGATGCAATCCATCTTGCCTGGGTTCCATATTTGGATATTTGATGTAGTTGCGATGGCCAGACATTCACCAGACGGTGAATACCGAACATAGAGGACTTCAGCGCCACAGCTGATTGGATTTCCTTGCACTTGCCATGTTTTGGTATTCCAGAGCTCCACCGTGGTGTCAAATGAGCCGCTCGCCAGTAATGTGCTGTCTGGGGAAAAATCAAGCGACCATATCCGTTTGGAGTGGACTTTGATGGGCTGGGTCCAGGGTGAGAGATTCGCCATCTCTGTTCCAGGCTATGAGCTCTCCACTGAAATCACCGCTTGCCATGAATTGCCCGTCTCTTGATACTGCAACTTCTTGTATGCCGGAACGATGCCCTCCATTATCTTCAATGCAACACCGTCTTTTAAGTCCCACAGACGAAGCGTCTTGTCGTACGAGCCCGTCACCATACGGCGTCTATCGGGAAAGACTGCCGCTTCCCAAATAGTATCTTTATGACCTTGAAATATTTGACTGGGCGTGGTGATTCGAATGGCGGGGTGTTCCACTTCCATCATTCTTTCCGGGGTGGATGGTGTTGAAAACAACTTGCTTGTAGGTGTCTTGATCTAAGTTCCAGAGGTACCGGGTCTTTTTCTACTTCTGCACAGCTCAACATCATTAGACGCCCAGGACACGAGGCCTGAAGCCTATGATACTCTGAATCTCCGTTACTTATCAGTGCACGAATCAGATCACAGGTATGTTTACTGATTGTCGACTCATACCATGACCTGATGTAACTGGACCAAGACACACAAGAGCGAAAATTACAAATTGAAAAGCTGTAAAGTTGGAAAGGCGTGAATTACTTACAGTACTAGTAGTAAATGACTCTGACCTACGCTGAGCACCCATATTATATGAACAAGCTGATGACTGTCTCAACGATTCACACAGAATCGCACTCCCCTGGACCCCAGTCGACGCGTACGAAAAAGCAGCACTTATGTAATTAAGTTTAAATTTGAGAAGTCCCAATTCAGGAGTCCTGGCTTGTATACAAAAGACGACAGATCTACTGGTCACGAGTCTCAACTTGTACAGCATCCCTAGTAGCGGTGCATGTGCATTGTGCACCCAGTCCCCGACTCCGTCACGATTATAGTATATCTTTCCACCCATCCTAGTTTTCTAATCTGTACAACTAGGACAACTTCAACAAAGCACCTCCAAGCATGTTTAGCTAACAAGTTGTCATACTTATGAACAACACAAATTTCCTTTTTGTTCCCTCTAGAACACATGGATACGCATACTAATTGTTTAGGTCTCATGGCTACCAATATCATGGTCATACTGATTGTGGCGATACAAGCGCTGAATATTGAATGGTGGTATATCTACTAGCACGAACGCTATTGTTAATATCTCCAACTTATCTCCCACTAGCTCACACCCCCATCCCTCGAATACTATGACTGTAGTCTTAAATGATCCCAGTTGGTGGCCAATAATCAATTCAAATATTTCTTTCAGCTACTGGGCCGGTTCGTCGTATCAGTCGGCCGTGTCTCTTGATCTAACATTGACTTATGATCATATCGCAGTCGCTGCGGCGTTGTGGTGGTATACGAGTGGGTGAGCAGGATAGTGTTCGAGTTCTGTTGAGATTCTCATGGTAATTCCAGTACTAACGCTCGGACAAGAGGTAGGTCGATGTTGTCGCTGGAGCAGTCAACTCGCTAAGAATGATGTCATAGATTGAACTAATCTGGGTAGGTGGCAGAGTCTCATATCGGAGGAAATACAAGGAGATCACACTGATTTCACGACAGAGGCAACATTGGTCCCTCATGACCGTGCTGTATTTTGCTGTTCGTACCTCATATTGTGCTATCATGATAGCATGGTTGGTAGTCGTACTGACTCCAAATTGTTTTAGACACGTTACATTGGACTACCGTATTCTGTGTATGTTCGGAGGCCAACATAATAGCGTTGTGCTAACAGCCCATCTCTCATCACCAGTATCAGCGTTCTGCGTACGTCTCTTGTACGCTGTGTTCACTTCTTCTGATTGGCGGAACACAGTAATTATGCCATCGGTGTCACTGACTGATACAGTGAGTATTGCGCGACCACCTCTCATCCAATGAATATACTCATATGTAGGGGTGAGTGAGATTCCAACCATTGAACTTGACTCGACATAACGATTCAATAGGTGTGAGTCTGAGTGTTTGGTTTTAGTACGAGGCTGATCACTAATTCGGTGTTTTAGGCAATATTATGATCTACGCAAGAAATGGGACAAATGTGCTCATAGCTGCCATATTGTGCGGTAAGTTACCCAACTGCAACACCTCAGTGATATTGACTCGACTGAAACATGATGCAAGTCATCATGATTGCTCGGTTGCATGCCATGTATCAGAGATCTAGAACGATGCTTATTTTCCTTGTTATTATTTTCCTGGCTGTAAACATCACCTGTGGAGTAATCGCGGCAATAGTACTCGAGCAACTCGTAGGGGGTAAGCTTTACTTATTGACCTGAAGAACGCAGCTCATTGTATGAACACCAGAGGAGTTCATACTCTCTGGCACGTATATGTGCGATTTTGGATATCGGGAGGATCTCAACTCAGAGCTTCTGATTTCAATGATTTGGGTGCTCAACACTGTTTGGGAGGTCCTAGCACTGTGCCTTTCAGTCTGGATTGTTGTAAAACATTTCCGTGACCTGCGACGACTCAGCCCATCGACAGGACTGGCCATCGGGGAGTGTTTCAGAGTGCTGATAAAATCTCACGTGCTTTATTTTGCGAGGTGAGCTTGTCGTGCGAATTTGGTTATATTTTTTCTCAAGTTTCGCACATGCTAGCTTTGTTTGTGTCTCTTGCCTCGAACTTTTGGTTCTCTCTCCAGAGATCTCGGTGCGCCGACCTGTTGCTAAAATCTGCTTATAACCACTGCTTATCATTACTGTCTGATTTACAGACTATGGGAGCTGATATACTCATCGATGCTCTTCAAATTTTTTTGGCCGTGCAGATGTTTGTGCTGGGACCACGCCTCATCCTTAGTGTTCGAGAATATCATGCTAAGCTCGTAGCCAACTCCGACGCAGAGACTAGCATGAATTCGATTGTCTTCCAGGACCGTGCACATGTACCAACTAGCAGTACTGTGTAGGGAAATACATACCGACTGTTCTGCAGGGAGGAGAAATTTGGTCGAGGGTCCGTCGTAGTTTTATGTAACATATGGTGTTTCGTTATATTTAAGACGAGGCTTATGTAGGTAAACCTATTATTCCTTGTATACTACTGGAATGAAGTAGCTGGCCACCCAAACTTGTACCAAGCAAACTGAATTATCCGGAACGTCTAGCGATCAACCCAGTCCGAATACTACAGTACAACGAGAATTAGTATAAGCCGCCTGGACAGCTGATTCACATCAGAGTCGCACTGGAGTAGCATTTACCAATGCAACTACAAGATACGTGTCAGATCTGCATCAGGGTCGCTGCGATGCTCTGTTCAATGGAGTCCACTCTGCTAAGTATGACCGTTAGAGTAACGCGCTCAACGATACAGACATGCATACATGCACCCGTTGCCATCACCATTCCCGTATAATCCATCTGGGCTATTCGTCTTGATGAATTACGAGGGGAAAATAAGTGGATTGCAGAGTGACAGCATGTCGTAGACAAAGGTTCGTATAAATGCCTACCTGAAGCATTGAAATACATGGTTTAATCGGTAGATACCTACACCATGACATCATCCTGTAATAAATCTATATGCATACACATAGCTGCTAGCTACAATATCTCGAGTATCTTGACGTCCACCATGTCCTGAGCAAAAGCCGTGTCGTCAACTTGTGCAATGATGGCACGATCTGATGCGACTCTCTGTATTCTCCCCCACGCTGCTGCGCTAGCAAAAATGCACTAAAACGCTGTCCAAGGCGAACGATCAATCGCAACGCTCGCTCGCCCGATTCCAAATCAACCGGCTTCTCTGCTTCAAGGGACCCGCCAGGTGAATCCTGCAATGGAGACCCAGGCGCAGACCAATAGGATTCCTCGCTCTGCGTGTCGTCTCCAATGTCAGGCAGCCTAGCTGCCAAGCCTAACAGCTCCGCAAAATCAGGCAGCTCGAGGAGATCACGATCCCATGGACGGACGAGTAAGAACGTCTGCCGTGTGGAAAATGTCCACGAAGATGGAATAAGTTTGTCCTCCGTGGTGATTGACAGGTCGTGAAGACCGTCTGCCTTGACCTGATACGTGCTGTGTGAATCTTGGTCTGAGTATGACTCCGTTTCACTGCCGTGACACGAAATGCTATGCAAGGCAGATGCAGTCTGCAGTTCGCGAAACGAGGAGCGTTCATCTGATCGAGAAGGGTATAAAGCTTTGAAGCTGATTCCATAGCCTCGGTGTTTCGCAGTAAAGAGACCGAAGTCTGAATCGCATCTTCAGACAGAGATGGCAGGGTGTACGGTGGTGCTTTGTATGAAGTAATGTCGGCTGGTAGACAGCTATTGAATTCAGATGATTCCCCACCCAGTCCAGGGCACTGATGTCGCCCGACTGAGCTATGACCTCCTGCAAGAGCCTCCCGAGCGCCTTTTGCTTCTTCTCGCCATAAATGACAGGTAGGTTGACGCCGAAGATACCAAACAATGAGTATGCAATATCTTCCGGCCACGTGGTAACACGCGCTGACACCCATTGGAGTTTCTCCCGGGCGTTTCTCATCCCCGGACGGAAGGCAACAAGGGTTCGTGCATCTATTCCCGTCACATCTCCCATCTCCTGCATGATTGTAAGAGAATCTTTGTGGTTGGGAGAGCGATCGTCGAGATACAACGACCAATCCTTCTGGTAAAAGAGTACAAACATTGAAGCCAGAATTCTTGAACTGTCCATCCTCGCGTATTCCAAGCGCTGCTGCGAGTGCCAGACTGCGACGAAGTGGAACATCCGACAGGTAGATGATGGTAGTGCTGAGTGGCGATACCAGAAACATGGAGTTGACCGATTGTTGGACCTCGACGTTGTTAGTCTGGTCGATGCAACAGGTATCAATCCATGCCCAACAATACCCTTTATCACGAGCAGTTCTACAGAATGACTGCAACTTTGCGATGCCACCGATTGGATCCAAGTCGTACACCACCTTGTTCTGGATGTCATGCAGTGATGGCTCCGTCACTTCCCACCTATGCGATAGCATGACATAACGGAAGTACGTCGACACCACATCTTGATGCGCTCCATTTGAAAGTCCGGATGTTTCGTGGTGGATGACAAAAGTTCTTTGTACACTGTGCTTGTTCTGAAGGCATTGATCTGTGCCTCGCGGTTGCATAAGCGCCCAGTGGAGGTGTTGATTAGACGGTGCGGGGTGTTGTCGAGCTGACCTTAATGCTGTCTTCAATAGCATGTTCTGCTTCGGATGGACTAATATACTGTTGGCGCAAGTCTGGACAGAGAGTCAACAATGTTTGAAAGATGTGTTATTTGAGGCGTACTTCTTGTTTCTGTATCGGGAGCACTTTCCAACTTGGAGAGCATGGTTGAGAGCGCCTCGATGGCTTCATCATATCTATGTGCGCCATGAAGCACCGCATGCTTCAACTGATATCCAAAGTAAGATGAAGGGTCGAGTTCAATGACCTGCGTATCACCAAAATTAGCGTTGAGTACGAAACAGTAATTGTCATCCCACCTTTTCCGCATCGAGGAGTGCATCGTTCCATAGCATTTTTCCCGACCTCGCTTTACTGCGGTTTGCAAAGGTGGTATGGGTTGCAAAGTCGAGATCGATCGCTGCGGAGTAAAGCTCGATAGCCTTGTCGTAATTACCCGCAGCGAGGGCTTCATCTCCGCCCACAGCGAGGTCAGTCACTCCATCAGCAGCATAGACAACATTGCAATCTTGCTTGAAATCTGAGTGAGATAAGGATGGGAGTCATACGAGGTTTACATCGAGAAGACTCGCCAGTGGACCAATCAAGGCAGCGTGCTTTTGTAGCCTCATCAGCCCTATCCATCATGTATCGGTATGCTTTGATGGCTTCTGGAAGTCTACCTGCCCGAAGGAGCGCATCGCACCAATTCTGATGTGCATTTCGCCACAAAGACCGCAGATCCCACCCAAATAACTAGAAAAAGCACAGTGAGGCGACAAAAAAGAAATTCCGGTTGCATTTCAATCAACCTACCACCACGAAGACATCGTATCTAGAGTGGATGGCCGACACAGACGAGAAATCAATAGTGTTGACAGCAGCAGTGAAGTGGCCAGCCGCCTCGTTGTGACGTGCGTCATGTGATGCATTCTTTCCCAGTTGGACGTGTAGATAAGCCTGGAGTGCGAGGTTCGCAAAATCAGCATCGATGCATGAATCTGGAGTTGATTGTGTCAGGAGCACTCACTTCCACGACACCACAGGCAAGAGAATTTGGATTAGGACGAGTGGTAGCTAGCTCTTGGACGCGCAGAATCGCCTCGTCATGTTGATTTGCATTGAAAAGGGCGATGGCCTAATGGTTGTTGTGTGAGTAGTGAGTACGTAAGACACAATTGACATACCTTAATCAAGAGTAGAAGACGAGTTTTATTCAAGTCTGCATCCACGTGCATGAACGCGATGTCAAATGCTTTCATCGCGTCCCGGAACTGTTTTTTTCCACAGTGGGCGATGCCCTTGGATATACAGCCCATCAAGGATGGCTTGATACTGATGCTCTGCATTGCCATATAAGTTAGTCTGTTTTGAAAAGGTCAGGACGAAATGGTGCATCTCACTTTGAGCGCGTCATCAAGTGCGTGGTCCCAGTCTGAATTTCTTGCCTTGACAAACGAACGATTCGCATGAGACTTGTAGTCATTGTCATCGGCGGCGATATCTTGTGTTAACAGTTTGTCAGCAGTGAGCAAGTCTCCGGCTATGCATGCATCGCGGGCCGTCGTGTTGATGGCGAGGATCTGCATCACGCACGATCAAATTGTGTGGTAAGAATGAAGGTTAGAAACACACCTCGCAATCAGGGTTTGAGCATTGGCATCGAGATTGAGGATCAATAAGCAAGGAGACGAGCAAAGAACAAGAACTCACATTATTTGCCGCATGTTCCTTCAAAGTGTCTTCCTGTAATGCATCCTCGGAGAAAATAAGATGAAGAAGGGATGAAAAATACACAGAATCTTACATCTGTTGCCTGGTCCTGAGAACATCCTCTAGCGAAGGTACTGCCCACTTGAGATAATATGATCTTTCCTCCACTCAGGATGTACTTGCCATCCATGGAGAAGGCGACGCAACACACCCTTCGGTGTGTTTGAATATGGCAATGGTTTGTTGATCCGAAAGCCGCCAAAGGTGAACCTGGTGGTCTCAGACGCGGACGCGAAAGAGTGCCGGCAGGGTTGAGGGCAATCATGATAGCCTCAGCATGGCCCTTGCAGGGCTCACCGACCTGCTTCCAGGTCGACGAATCCCAGATCCTTATGGTGGACAACATGAGTACCAGCCGAAAGAAGCTGTTTGCCATCGGGTGTCCACGCTAATGCCTGATTCCATGCTTCATACGCAAAGTGACCCTGGAACTTTGCGATGCAATCCTCTTGCTTGGATTCCATATTTGGATATTTGACGAGGTTGCGATGGCAAGATATTCACCAGATGGTGAATACCGAACACAGAGAACTTGAGCACCACAACTGATTGGACTTCCTTGCACCTGCCATGTTTTGTGCTCCAGAGCTCCACGTGGCGTCAATGAGCTACTCGCTAGCAATGTGCTGTCTGGGGAAAAGTTGACCGATAATATCAGTTTGGAGTGGACTTTGATGGGCTGGGTGAGAGATTCGCCGTCTCTGTTCCAGGCTATGACCTCTCCACTACGATCACCGCTTGCTATCCATTTCCCATCTCTTGATACTGCAAGTCCATACACTGCGTCGGAATGCCCCTCCATTATCTTCAATAAAACACCGTCTTCTAAGTCCCAAAGACGAAGAGTCTTGTCGTACGAGGACGTCACCATGGCGTCTATCGGGAGGACTGCGACTCTTAAGACACTATTTGATGACCTTGAAATGTTCGATTGGGGGTGACGATTCGAATGACGGGGTGTTCTGCTTCCGTCATTCTGCTCGAGGTGGATGGTGTTGAGCACAACTTGCTAGAGAGACTGCGGGCGTCCTGAATCTTAATCTCAGTTTGAGAGGTGCGTGTACCGGGCCTTTTTGTGCTTCGTGTATCATTAGACGCCTAGGACACGTGTATGATGTTCGGAATCTCCCCTTATCAGTGCACACCGGATCAGGTCACAGATATGTTTAGATTCTACTGGTGTAACAACAAAGTGGACCCAAGATGCACAAGAACGAAATTGCAAATTGAAAAGCTGTAAAGTCACTTACTCGTAAATGACAGTAGTGGACCTCATGTCGACACCGAGTGACAATAGTGCCAGAGTGTAAGGCGGCTATACGAGTTCGAAGGGAATTGTTCGAGTACGAAGTAGATAGGCAATAGTTGGGACGATGATGATGACAAGTACGCGACTGACGAATGAAACGATGATAGACTTGGGACGAGCTAGATGGAGCGGCTGTTCAGAGACGTTCTGAGGACACTTGGAGCGGGGAATCACTGCGTTAGATTCTGCTATCGAAAATGAGAGTACATGCGCCGTATATATACGTTTGAACGAGTTGACTAGTCCTGAAGGAGCGTGAAGAGCGTATGGTAGAGTGAAAGAAAGACTGGAAAGGAATGGCGAGAAAAAGGGTCCAGTTGGTAAGTGTACTGTAAAGCGATGAAAGAGAAAGGAAAAGATCAGGGATGTATCCTCGCTGCTCGGACGCGAAGCGTGAAGCTTCTTCGCGTCAGTGAGTCACGTGGAACGTCGGATGGATTCAAGCGTCTATCTAAAGTTGCGGTTGGCGCGTAAAGGATACTAGTCCACACCCGTTCTGCCTTCGGCACAGGAAGCAAAAAAGAGTGCTTCGCACTCTTTTTTTAGCTTCCTGGCCTCAGCCTCATCCCAATAATTCAGAAGGCTCCTGATGAGCATTGTTCCTTCGTCACAGGAAGCCAAGGAGGGCTGCGCCCTCCTTTGGCTTCCTGGCCTCAGGCTGCATCCTAATAAATTGTACATTTTGAATAATTTTGAAATACATTTATGAGCAGCTTTTCAAAAAAACTCAAAGTACAATCTATCACACCACATAAAAGTATATAGTACATAAGATCAGTCCATTCTATGTTTTTTGAGCAGGATTTTGACAAATGTAAAGATACAATCTACTACACAACATAAAATTACAAAATATGTAACAGTATCATTGAATGTATTTATTTTCCCATTTTTCCCTGCCCCCCATCTCCCATTGTGTCCCATGTCCTCCCATCCTCCCGTCTCCCGTCTCCCGTCTCCCGTCTCCCGTCTCCCGTCTCCCGTCTCCCGTCTCCCGTCTCCCGTCTCCCGTCTCCGTCTCCCGTCTCCCGTCTCCCGTCTCCCGTCTCCGTCTCCCATCTCCCGTCTCCCGTCTCCCGATCTCCCGTCTCCCGTTTTTCCATCCTACCATCTCCTGTTCTCCCATTTTTGAGTCTCTCCCATTCTCCCTGTTTCCTGTTCCCAATTTTCTGTCCTCCCATCTCCCATTCTCCAGTTTCTGAGTCTACATTCACTGCAGGCATTTCCTCATGTTCCTCCACCAAACATCCAAAAAACATTGAATTAGAAGATAGAAATTTCCTTGCATTTTGTGTATCAAAACATTGAAAAAAAATAATGAATGTATTAAAGATTTTCTGTATGCAAGACATAATATAAAAATGTGTCATTTTCCCTCGGGAAACAGTCAATATTTTTCACTCATCATTCTTCAAATAACAATTTACAATCATGTTAAATTTTTTGCCTCTGTTTTTCCAATGTTCTGTGCATCAAAAATCTCAATTACTTCATCCTGTTCACCATATGTTTGATCCAAGAACATTGAAAAATCATATAACAAATAATAAAATATATTTTGACAATGTTTTGTTCAGGAAAAGCAAAGAAACTTTCAAACATTCATTTGTATATTTGGTAAGAGGAAATTTATGAAACATGCCTCATGTTTTGTAAGAATAAATAAATGATGTTTGCAGTATATTCCTGCTGCACAACACTTGAAAAACATTTATTATGTTCAGAGAAAAAAAAAGAAACATGATTGCAGGATACTCTGCCTCAGAACATGCACAAATTATATATTTTTTTCTGCACACAATACATGGAAAATTATCCTTGAAGGAACATGATCAATTTTTGCATCATGTCCCGCACACAGAAAATCATTGAAACATGAAATTTTTTTTTTCAATGTTTTGACAAGTCCCACACAGAAAATCATTGAAACATGAATTATGTTTTTTCAATATTTTGACAGGTCCCACACAGAAAATCATTGAAACATGAATTATTATTTTTTTCAATGTTTTGACAGGTCCCACACAGAAAATCATTGAAACATGAATTATTATTTTTTTCAATGTTTCGACAGACAAAATGAAGGTACAAGATGTCAAGGAGCAAAAGCAGCTAGTTGTGCATAAGAAAGGCCAACTTAAAGGATTCATCAATTTTCTGTGTCCCATGGGCCATGACATGCAAGATCCAACAAACAGTGGGCATTTGTACAACTACTAGTAAAAAAACTCAACTTTTGACCTCTACATGTGCAGGGTAGCTACTTCTCTACATATTTGCACCACTATGTGGTATTCATTCAGATCACAAATGTTAAAAGTGCATTGTTCAATTATTAAAGAAAGTCACCATGAAAAGCCTGAACGGACGGCACCGCAAGCAGACAGCGGTTCATAATTCAGCTTTCATGTCAACATTTGACGAGCCTGATGTAGTACATGAAGTCTCCCACTCATTCGAGACCCATGGATGGGCGGAGGTGGACAGGAGAAAAAGGCAGGCTTCTTGCACTTACATGAAGGTGTGCGGGGATGGGAGAGAAAGTGCGGCGCCTTCAGACTTCAGGTGCGTGCACCATTATACTGGAGATGTATCCATCTTCCAAAGACAGGTCAATCGGCAGAATCAACACTGTCAGGATCAGAGCCAAGCCCACCGCTGCTGGCAACGGACGAACGCGGAAAAAAAGAACGAAACGCGAAGGAACAACGCAGGAAAACAACAAACGCGAAAAAAAACGCGGACAAACGAGTGAACGTAAGGACAAACGCGACAAAAAGACGCGGACAAACGAGTGAACGTAAGGATAAACGAGGGAACGCAAGGACAAACGAACGAACGCGAAAAAAAACGCGGACAAACGAGTCAACGCAAGGACAAACGAGGGAACGCACGGGCAAACGCGAAAAAAAATGCGGACAAACGAGGGAACGCGGGAACAAACGAGGGAACGGGTTGCTGATCACGATCCACATTATTGGAATAGTTGGGGCAGTAGGGCCAGGCAGCCTCTTGAGGTGGGAGGTAGATAGGGTCCCTGGTTTTCAAACGAGTCAACGCAAGGACAAACGAGGGAACGCACCGTCAAACGAGTGAACGCGGGGACAAACGAGTCGACGCGAGGACGAACGAACGAACGCGAGGATAAACGCGGACAAGATAACTCAGAGGACGTTACCAACATAGTGTTTGATAGCCAAATGCGAAAAAAAAATGGGGACAAACGAAGGACCGCAAGGACAAACGAACAAACGCGAAAAATAAACGCGGACAAACGAGTCAACGCAAGGACAAACGAACGAACACGATGATAAACGCGAAAAAAAATACGGACAAACGAGGGAACGCAAGGACAAACGAGTGAGCGCAAGGACAAACGAACAACTGCGAGGACAAACGAACGAACGCGAGGATAAACGCGAAAAAAACGCGGACAAACGAGTCAACGCAAGAACAAACGAACAAACGCGAGAAAAAAACGCAGACAAAGGAGGGAACGCAAGGATAAACGAACGAACGCGAAAAAAAACGCGGACAAACCAGGGAACGCAAGCACAAACGAACAAATGCGAGGACAAACGAACGAACGCGAGAAAAAAACGCGGGCAAACGAGGGAACGCACGAGCAAACGAGTGAACGCGAGAAAAAAACGCGGACAGAGGAGTCAACGCAAGGGCAAACGCGAAAAAAAAAATTGCGGGTAAACGAACGAACGCGAGAAAAAAACGCGGACAAACGAGGGAACGCAGGAGCAAACGAGTCAACGCGAGGACAAACGAACAAACGCAAGGACAAACGCGGAAAAATAATAACCAGGAGGCGCCCCGCCTCCTCGGCGCAGCGAGGAGGTGGGGCGCAAAAACGCGGACAAACAAGCGAACCAACGCAAGAACAAACGAGTCAACGCAAGGACGAACGAACCAATGCAAGAACAAACGAACAAACGCGAGGACAAACGGGTCAACGCAAGGACAAACGAGTCAACGCGAGAACAAACGAACGAACGCGAGGACAAACAGGTCAACGCAAGGGCCAACGAGTCAACGCAAGGACGAACGAACAAACGCAAGGACAAACGAGTCAACGCAAGGACGAATGAACAAACGCAAGGACAAACGAGTCAACGCAAGGACAAACGAGAGAACGCAAGAACA